AGAAAGAGTTGTTTATGCTGTAAATTAAAGCTCACAGAGGTCACCCTCTGGGATGGGATGGATTGGGGCGTTATATGTGTAAACTTGGAAACTTTCCAGAATTGTGCTCAGGTGAGCCTGTACAAGTTTAGATGTACAGTAAAAATCTACTGCTTTTTTCTGTTTCATATTTTACATCTGACAAACTGATGGCTTGTTGTGTTTTGTGTTTTTTTTAAGCTCTTTTGCACTGTAATTCTAAGTATGATGTGCTGTTGAAATAGAATCCTTCTTCGAATGTGTAATATTAATGGATGTTTTAATTAAAATACTGGATTGCTTACATGACTGCAAATTATTCCTGGTTACAGAGGGGTGTACTGACAAACTATGAGTAAAGCCCTGGAGCAACCTCTAAAGCAGAATTTTAGTAGAATTAGGCTTGGAATCTGATTTTTCCTCAGTGAAGTTTTCCACGCCTTGCTGGGGTTCTTGAAAAGATTGTAACCTTTTGCAAAGTTTTGAACAAGTAGCTTGCAAAAGAGGAAGAGGCCATTTGAAAAGACACAAACACAAGTTCCTTGAAGAAGAATTGACAGAAAATGAGTGAAAGTAGTTCCTAAAAGTATCATCCCATGTACACACAGAAGTTGATAGCAGAGGAGGAGGTTTTTGATACTGTTTTGTTTTTTTATTTAGTCCTTCTGTGCTGCAGCCCTAGTTTATAAGATGGGGAGTAGCAGAACTTCAAGTTTCAATCAATTTAATGGAAATACAAATTCCAGTTCATTGGGTACTTGACTGTTCTTGTAATGAGGTTCATACAAATATCTTGGATATAATCTTCCATTTTAAGTTTGGTTCTCTTTGTCGTGCATCAAAATAGAACAAAAATTCATGAATGGAATACAACTTCTGCAATTTCAGCCAGAAAAACGAACTTACCTTCTTAATGCTGGGGCTAGAAAAAACAAAAACCACTTTCATAAAAGCTTAGTAGGAGGAAGGGGAAGGAAGGACAGAGGTGGTGTCACTTCTGTATTGAAATGCAACTTTCTCCCTTAAAAAAAAACAACACAAAAGCAAGAAACAAACAAAAAAATTCAAATGAAAAGGAACCATGGAACACAGTTAATGCAGAGATCAGATCTGCGTCAATTTTTAGGTCACAGAGACATAGTGAGGAAAACTCAGCAATCAAAAAAAATCCATGTTTACTCTAACTGTGAAGTATGAAGAAAACAGCATTGTCTTGTCAGAACTTCTGTGAATTAAGATGCAAATCTGGACTATAGGGTATTAAAACTATTTTTTGTACAGTCTAAGCTTTGGTTTTTAAGTTCTTGGAATATGGGAATAGGTGTTGTCCTGTTTTCCCTTTCCTGTTCTGGGAAACTTTTCTGCTTTAAATGGTGCCAGATCTATTTTTGTGTTTGGTTGTTTTTGTTGTGTTTTTTTTTTCCCATCTGGGCATGAGTACTGAGAACACAAGGAAGGAACGCATTACTTTGTGTTAGTTGCACGAAGCTGTGGTGAGAGAATGCAAAGTTCTTTGTTTAAAAATATATAAATTTTAAATGAAAAAGAAAAGCTTGTTTCTGTGTAATCCCACAAGGTTACATCTCTCTTAGAAAGGCAGGAAAGTTTTAAGGAGCCAAAGCAGACAAGCAGCTTCCTGCTAATTCCCAGTTCAAGGCTGCATGAAAAAGACACGCATATGCCTCCTGTGCAGGAAGTGCTTTTTACCTCTTTGTAAAACATTCGAGATACCTTGGGAGATCATGGAAAAAGACAAATAAGAGCTGAAGAAAATGGTTTAAGGTGATGGCACTGAAAATCTGTATCTTTAATTGATCACAAAGATAACGGTGAACTGAATGTTTTAGAAACACTTTTGTTCAGAAAAATGATCAGCTTCTAAATGAAGGAGAATATAGTAGAGTATCTCTGGAAGTTGGATAAATTCAAATGATGTGCATGCAATGCATTTTTGTTTTGGTAATCAAGGAGAGCAGTAGTCTGTCTCTTGATGTATCCTTACAGACTGGTACAGGGGCAGCTGTGAATGGGGTGATAACAGGTCACCAGACAAGATCAAAATCTTCTGAAATCTGCATTACTATTTCCATACTGTACCTGATCATTCTTTTCTTATTCCTCCTTGCTGGGATTCTTGGGAGTATGTAGCTGTGCATAATACATTCCAAATTTCTTTCACTAATGGGAGGCCCCAGATTTCCGGATCAGTAATGTATTAAATCATAGAATGTGCTGATGGTGATGAGCAGAAGCTGTCTTTTATTGTATGTGGCAAACAGTGACCTTTCAGCTGTACAAGCACATTTTCCCTTCCTTTAAAATTTTTAGCCTTAAAAGAAATTTTGTGTGTGTGTATATTATTGGCAGATAATGACTGAACAAAATTCTTATGAAATAAAATGTTTTAACTTTATTTTCTTGCATCCTAAAGCAATAGCACTTACTGCAAGTACTCAGTATGGAATTCATACTAACTGTATAAATTCCAAAAACTTATTTTGTCTATGCTGTTGAATGTGATCTTAGGAAGAAATGAGAGTGAGATACATTTGGTAGAAGAGTTGCAACCTTAAGGAGCTTTCCACTTACGTTGTCCTCTTCCAAGGTATGGGAGTATTTGGGAGGTAAGCTTCTGGAAGTAATGTTCAGGTGTTAATAGTAACAATGCAGGTCAAGCAGTGCTCCTATTGTTTTTTTCCTGAGGTGACTGACACTTACTGACATTGTAATTAAACAGATAAATACTAAATAAGTAGAATGGAATGTCATCTGTATTTCTTCAGAGAACAGAGTAGTGGCAAAGAGTTTTACCATAGTGCCAGTGACGCTCAGCTACCTAGATGTGGGTCACTGCAGTAACTGGGGTAATGAAGACTGACTGTTCAGTTGGTTACGTAGGCAAGTCTTTAGTTCTTCTCCTGATGAGTCAAGGGAGCTACTAAAACTATGAACTGTTGTGCTAAGATTGAGTTTGAAAGAAGAGCTTTTTGTCTGAGTTTACCCACATCTAGGTAAAGACTGCTTATTTTAGAGATGAAACATTTAGTATGCGTACAAAAACACAGCTGGTTAACTTTCTCATCCATTGTTAGAATCTAGGACTATCTTCTTCCATTTGTTCACATTAGGCCAACCGTTTCCCTCGTTTCTTTGTGTATTTCTCATGCAATAGTAAAATAAAATGGGAAGAATATCTTCTACCACCTTATCCACTTTCCTGAATGTCTCAATCGTTCCTTTCATTTTCACTTCGCCCCTTCTGTCTCAAAACCTGTTGAATTCATTCCTAATGTGTTTTCATGCCTGTAGTCCAAAACTCTGGAATTCTGCCTCATAAGTGGAAGTGGATTTAGTGATTGTACTGAACTCATAGCTGTTTCTTGTCGCATTGCCCTGACCTTCTTTGAATCAAGGACGCTTTGTTTAAAATGGAAGTATTTTTTGCTGTCCTTCAATATTTCAGACTACATGATAGCAGTCATACTGCTGATCGGTAAATGATGATGTGATTTGCAAAACTGAAGGTTTGCTAATCCTGTAGAAGGTCAGGTACGTGCTTTATCTACCTGGACTGTTAAGGTTATTGCTAGCTGAGCTGCTTTGCTTGAAGACTCAGTCTTAGTTTTTAGTACAGCACTATCTTCTCTGAGAGCACTGACTCCACCACACTGGTTATGGAAGACATAGATAGAATGTCTTTCTTAAGATACTGCAGAAATTCAACATGTAATAGAAAATTTCATGGCAGGAGTTGTGACAAAATTGAGTTGGCAGTACTGCAGAAATAGAATTTAAAATACGCAGTACTTTTGGCCATCCTTGCTTTTTTGAGGGGTGACAGGGGAGGGGTTTATATATCCTGTCATGCAGATTAAGATTGATGTCATTCAAAAAGGGTTTTAAGAACATCCCATAGAAAATTAGAAAGGGACTTAGAAGAGGGACAGTTAATAATGCTGCCTTAGTGTGTAGAACTGGTAAAGCTTAATGGCTATAAAATATCTGTATACATTTTGATTTGCCTTACTTCCGTTGTTCTATTGTTGTTGCTCCACATCACTATTTTAAAAAGAAAGCATTTTACCTTTAAAAACTCTGCCTCCCTGTTGCCACATGGTTCCTGACTATTTTTCTGTGCACTTATCTTTTGTTAAACATCTGAGCATGGAGTGCCTTTTCTTCAGTGTATTTACTGATATTTAAAATAATTATACCAACTAGTTTAAAACTAAACTAGATAAATCTTCATATTGTTTTAATTGAAGATTTGCACAAAATTGTCTGGGGGGGTTTTTGGAAGAGAGCTCAGAAACTTTCCTGTTTACACAGGGGAAAGCAGGAAAGCACACCCTTTCTACCCTCACCACAACATTTCAACCTCAGAGATATTCAGAGTGAGCAGCATCTCATCTCCAGAGACACCACAATCAAAGAAGCCTGGGGCAATGAATGAGGCAAGCATGCCTGAAACTTGGTAGGGAAGGAGGGGGAGCAACAGCAGGGATTAAGAGCTGCCACTTGCTTCCTCCCAAAATGTTTCTCTGAAGAGCAGAGGTGCTCCTTGCTTACTGTCTTTCCACTAAGCTTAGTTGTGTCTCGTAGTTACTGCTGATAGCGGTGGATGACAGAGATGGTCTTTCTGTTGTACAGACTGGGAGCAGTAAGGGTAGCTTTGTTTCTAGTGAATTATCAATTAAACCAAGATTCATGTATGCATGGCTAGCCTTCATGGAATTCTGGGGTTTGCAGATGCTGCTGCCACACAAGCATATGTGAAAGGAGATGCTGCTTCCTGTTTTAAATTTTGGTGGGCACTCAATATTTAATTTCATTAGATTTACTTTAAAAGAATGGAAACTTCAAGAACTTCCTTACCAATAATTACTTTTTATTTTAATTGTCCTTTTCTGACTACAGGATAATGGTATACTGGGGGTGACTGAATATTTGAGAAAATGAAAATCTTCTGTTTTGTTTTTCAGAGAATGCAGAATCGATTGATCTCAAACAGTTTTTTGACCTACATTTCTCACATATATATTATGTGTTCTTTGAAAACTTTGTGACTATTGAAGTAGGTCTGAAACAAAAGGGTGAGTATTTCAAATAGAATGATTTTTTTGGTCTTTGTGCTTCTGTGATCACATGTATTAGGGATGCAGAAATATGTACAAACATTAACATGGTGAATAAAGGTGGTGTAATTAAATACACCTGAGTGGGGATTGAGGTGGGAGAGTTTATTCTCTAATGGCTGGTTTTGCAATTTTGAAAAATGGGAATTCTTCAGATATTAGGCTTTTTGTGTTCTGCAGAATCACTGGAAATTTTACTTCATAAGATGGTGTGTAACTTAATCTCTGCCAGCTGCTGTTGCCATAATAGAAAGTTATATGAAGTGTAGCTGTTATAAACTATAACAAAAGAAAATATTCTTTTTATTTGCAGAAGGATTACAAAATAATTATTGATTTTAGAAGTGCATGTTTTGTTTTGTTCATCTAAGAATCTTCTTCAGCATTATTTAAATTCTGCTTTGCTATCTTCTTAATTGCATCTAGGTCACAAGTCTCAGAGAGAAGAATTAGATTCTATTCTTTTTATTTTTGAGGTAAGATAACTTCAGTATTCCTTAATAAATTTTTGGCTTTGATTTAAGTCCTGTTGAATCGTAACAGTAGCTATCCTTCAGTCCCCTAGAAATATGCTTTATGCTGAACTGCATTCCCTTTTCTTTTGCTTAGAGTTGACTTGAATTTTTGCAGGTAGGCATCATAACTGGAAGAAACATTTTGTGCGTATGTTCCCAAGCTTTTGGTGATGATGGTTATTACGGCAGCAGAACCAGTTTACATAGATTCCTTTTACATTTTGGTGTTCACAATATCATTACCAAAAGCATTGCGTCACTTACTTAAAATGACTTCGAACCTATCTGAATTAAATCAGACTGGTTCTGATGAGAGATCATAGTATAAAAATGACTTAACATCAAGTTTTTCTTTTTTTGTTTTGATCAAAAACTTCTGGTTATGTAATCAGGATTTTTCTTTTTAAGGATATTTTAAATAGAAAGTTGCTGAATGCTGATTATGTGGTTGAACACAGATTCATTTTTGTTGCTGGGTTTTTTGTTTCATTGTGAGGTATATTGCTGCTTGAAACCATAGGGTTAGCTGTATAGGAGAGAGTGAATCTGAAAAGAGCTGTTTGATTTGTTCATTGGTTGTTGCAAAAAGGTTATTAGGTGAGCTGTGCTTTGGAAGCTTAATACTACTGTTGTGAATGAGAGCAACTGAGTCAGATGCTCATCCCACTTCATTCCCTGTGCTGTAAATAGTAATATTCAGCAAAGAGTCAGTGAAGCTAGATAAACTGCAGCCACATCTGAAATCTACAGGATGTGCCAGACAGTGTGTTAGAGCCTTTGGGCTTTTTAGCTTTCGGAATGGGATTGTATGGAAAGGACAGTAATGTTTCCAGGGAAAGTAGTATGGAAATTTTCTGAAGTAACCTTTCAGTTTCTGATCTGTGACCTTTGTGAGAGTGCTCTTTAGTCTTTAGTGAATATGATATCTGCAACATAGATCCGTGGGTTCTGTTGTTTTGTTTTTTGGTCTTTTTTTTTTTTTTGTAGAAAATATTGCAACTCCTTCCAGAAAGGATTCATCAGAGATGGCAATTTCATAGTATTGGTAAGTTACTTTTTGTTTTTTCCTGTTTTATTTTTTAACCTTTATTTTTTTTATCAGTAGCTGTTAGGAGTTTGTGCTACTGATTTCATAAAACTTTGTCCCATAGCAGGGGTTAAGGTCTTGGAACATTATTAAGGTAGAGAAAGGAAAAAATAGATGGGAGGGGGAGAGAAATGAAACAACAAAAACCAAACATAATAAGATACTCTTCTACCTGAGAATTCAGAAACGTAATGGTGGCTGAGAAGGAGCAAAGGCAAGTGGACAGCTGCACTGTAAACTAATTTTCCAATTTTTCATACAGTAATAGATGGAAAAAAAATGGGGAAGATCTATATTTGTCAATGGGTAACTCTGATTTTACTTGTATTAATGATGTAAGAATCATTTGTGTTCAGTGTATACCTTCCCAGAAGTCTTTTAGGAAAGATGATCTATGTCACAAGGAAGCTGTGAGAGGTGATCTTTTTTTTCCTTCTGGCATTGAGAGAGTTGCCTGAAGGTAACAAGCTCACCAAGATTAAAATGGAGGTTGCCAAGGACTTGTTTAAAAGATGCTATCAAGTCTGACCGAGAACTCTGACATCTTTCTTAACAAAGAAATTAAGAAAAAAAAAATTTTTTTCTTTTCAGGGTTGATTTTAAAGAAGCTTCTTCATACTGGAAATTCATTAAAGGTATTGGAAAAAGTTGCATACTATTTGATTTTGTCTTAATTACTTAAAAATAAAAACATAAAGGTGAATTGTAGTAGTGAGAATCAGGTCATGAAGTAGTCACTTCTAGTCAATATCTTAATTTCAGTTGTTGACAGTAGTAATAGGATAGCTATTTTAAGAGTGTGTGCAAGTAGCTGAAGATCAGTTCATTGCTGAGGTTCTGATTGTCTTAGAGAATTACCTAGGTCAAAGACACTAGTGGGTAGTAAAATAACAATGGTTGACCATGTGGTTTTGGTACAGCAGTAAGCAGCTGTGCCACTTCTCTGTAAACCATCTTCAAGCTTTTTGGTCCCGAAGTCCTCTGATGTGAGAGCCAGGAGAAGACTATTCTGGGACTCTACCTCATTACTTTTGAAGAAGGAATGAAAAAGGGTAGAAGGAGTATAAATATCTAAAGGGTGGGTGTCAAGGGGATAGGCCAGGCTCTTTTCAGTGCTGCACAGGGACAGGGTGAGGAACAACAGGCAAAAGCTGTAATGCAGGAAGTTCCATGTGAACATGGGAAGAAAGTTCTTTACTTTGAGGATGACAGCAGTGGAACAAGTTGCCCAGAGAGGTTGTGGAATCTGCTTCTCTGGAGATACTCAAAATCTGCCTGAATACTCCTGTGCAATCTTCTTAAGGAAACTTGCTTTTGCAGGGGGTTGGGCTAGATGATCTCCTGAGGTCCCTTCCAACCCCCACAATTATGTGATTCTATGAGTCCTGCTACAGCAAAAAGCTTGTTCTGCTATTACGATTCACAAACATATTTCAAGATCTTACGATATTACTTATTTTCTTAAAAATGGCATCTCACACTATTCAAGCAAGTGAGTAGGTGTATATTGTCGTCTTCCTCTTCTTTCAGGGAAAGCACTGTGAAAGAGATTATGTGGGGCTTACATTTCAACAGGGCCTGCAGATTGCTAGCTTGTCTTTGCTGGTGATTACGCCGTCTGTTCTCATCTTTTCCATCCCTGTCTTTCTCCTCCTCCCTCCAGGATGTACAGAATAGTTTTGGTCCAAGTTAACTTGTTCCCTTGTTCCATTTTCTCATTTCAGATACGTCGAGAGGGTGTGCGTCTCTTTCTGCTGTGGCTGCAAGCACTTCAGAATAACTGTAGTAAAGAACAACTATGGATGTTTTCTTGCTTAATTCCTGGATTTTCATCACCACAATCTGAATATGGTCCCCGAACACTAGATAATCTCATTAACCCTCCTCTTAATGTTCAAGAAAGTAAGTAATTTGGTAAAATTACTCTTTTTTTTTTTCACATAATTGATATGATAATGATCCTGGCTTTACAAACTTCTTACTTTCCCTAATTGATAGAGTGTAGAGATAGCTTTTTCTTATGATTGTTTTCATGGCAAATTTATCTTCAGCTGTTCACTCCAGCAGTAAGTAACAGTTAATTGTAGCTTTGGGGAAAATTCTTACTTTGTAATTCAGTGCATATACTTTCTGTAGGAATTCAGATTTATCCATGAGTTGGAATTGAGTACTGTTGCGTGCAAACTGTGTATTCAGAGAAATGTGGATAAGAAGCTAAGCACTTTATTCCTCTGAGCAGAGAGTGCTGTTGCCTTTTTCCCCACCTCCACCTAATGCTTTAGAGCTGACACAAGCATTATTTATAGGAGCAAACAGTGTCTTGTTGGTTGGTAGTTAAAAAGTTACTTTAAGCCCTGTTTTGAAGTTATCTCATATGCAGACACAAGAAAGAAGGAAAAAATTCAACTGTGTTGGCAGCATAGAATTGCAGGATACAAAGAGTTAAATGCAAGCATCTTACTGCAGAACCAAGAGAAAAATAACACCTATCTAACTTTGCTTTAGAGGCAAAGGATGTATAAAACTAAAACTTTATTTGATGTAACTGATGAGTTGCTAAATGAAGAAAATGTAAATAAAGTGTTGGCATTTATGAAACACAAACACTATGCTCTTCATTATTTGCATAGATTTAGAAATACTGATTATGTCCTTTGGAAAAATCTGGTCTTAACAGGTAAATTCCAAGGTGCATAAAGAGAATTTAATTTTCCTCTGTATTTTTAGTTATGTAAGAAATATTTGAAGATTTATTAGCTAAAGCTTACTGAATTTCATTAATGTGCATTTACTTTGTTTTGCCTGTACTTCTCTGTTTATAGCAGTACATTTCTACTTTCATGACTTGGTAGATATTTTTACGGAAGTCATATAAATGTAGATCTGATTTTTTTAAATCATTATTAATATTCTTTGATAGCTCAAGTGACTATAGAGGAAATCACTCCACTTGTTCCGCCTCAATCTGGAGATAAAGGACAAGAAGACTTAACAAGCTATTTCTTGGAAGCGCTTCTGAAATACATAGTAATTCAGGTATGTTCTGTAGCTTTCAAGCAAATAAACATGAAATAACTAATATCTATTTGTCCAATGGAAAGGGAAAAAAAATACTGTTAGCACTCTATACTGCACACATATATAAAAATAATATTGTTTCATGGAAATAGTGTATAAAGAGAACAATTTCATCTGTCATCTTTCTCTTCTAGAGTTACTTAATTTAAGATATTTTCTTGTTTTTAAGGTTAAGAGTTTAGAATGGAAGAACAAAGAAAACCAGGAAAAGGGATTTTCATTTTTATTCTCAAATTTTAAGAAATATTACTTACCTTCTATCTTCCCAAACATCTGTAAGGAGACCAGCTTATATAACCCTATACTTGGTAAGTCTATACAACTGATAAAGTAATCATTACATTTTTTCCAGCAAAGGACATGGCAAAGCAGTTTCTTGCTTGAGTTATACTAAGGAGAATGTTCTTTATGCTCAGTATTTCTTATGAAAGGAAACATGGCTTCTGTTTCATGGTCTTCAATTATCCGTGCAAGCACTTGATCCCTTCATTAATTTCTGTCAATCTTGACATATTAACACAATTCAGGTAAATTAAATGTAAAACTATTCTTTATATGACTTCTGTTGTTACGCTCAGAAGATGAACTAATGATGTTAAGACAAGAGAAGTTCTGTTGTTTGGTGATGCTGATTTTATCCATACAGAATATGTACAGATAAAGAAACATCTGGATCATACTGTGCTTGTTCAAGAGTTCAGTCAGGGCAAAGTTAGCTGTATTTTTACATCAGCTGTATTTTTGTCATGAGCTTGCATCAGGAGGAGGAAGGTAGGTTTTAACAATCTTTAAAACAGACCTTGCTAGAATGTATCTTTCTATATAAAAACTGGAATTCCAGGTGTTTACTTAGCAACTAGAATTTTGTTTAGAGGTTTTTAGCTCATTCTTAACTAGAATGTTGTTTGCGTATCCTGACTTTGCTATCTCAGGTTTATATTCACACACACGTAAATTGTAAGCAAACGAAACAATATGATCTACTCAGGCTTTTAGATACCATTTCATTGCTTGAATAATATGTACGCAGCACCGCTTCTTTTGGCTGTTGATGCAGCATCTCATAAGGATTAATAGTAATCTCTCCAGCCACGATTCCATATTCTAAAATCAAGCTGTGGGGATGCTGAAAAGGTCTTTCTTGCTGCCAGTGTATGTGTGGATTACGGCTTTCTGCAGAGATATGTGTTTAAAAACTGGGATGGGTGTTCCCACAAACGGTGGACCTTCTCACACAGGGGAAAAGGAACAGTATAAATCCAGTCATAATTGTGGAACAAGAACTGTGTGAAGATACTGAAGAGATTCATTGATGAAATAGCTGCAAGTGCTGCTGCTTTGAGGTCTTGGAAGAAGAAATGTGGAAACCTTATTTCTTTCTTTGGAGGTCTTGATTGATTCTTCCACAGAAGTACTACTATAGTTCTTTCTTTTCCTGTGAACCATAAACAAGAAACTTGCAAGGCCTTAGGACAATGGGAAAGAAGAAGAAAATTAACACAGATCTCTAAGACTGATGTCAGTGCCTTAAGCTGTGCAAAGTCAGAAGCAGTCTGAGGAAGAGTACAGTAATGGAGACAACAGAAACACTGGTAAGTGGAATAGAAATTTTCCTTTCTGAAATTCTTCTCTGGCATTCCTTCCCTCACTCTAATTGAAAACCATCCTCTATTTGCCAGTAGATTGAGTAATGATTTTCTTAAGCAAGATTTTCAGATGTGTATCAGTTACAGTAATGCATATTCAGTTACAAGAAGCTAACGTGCCTCCTCTGAATTCCTTGGAGTCTCATAGGCTTAGAAGAGCAGTACAGTACAAGAGTAGAATTGTTTCAAATGTCTTTTAACATCTGTTCATATTCTGTAAGATGTTCTTTGGAATATGGATTTCAGGGTCATTTTTACTTCCATCAAACCTATCTGTTCCGTTTCCAAGCCATTTAGAAGAGCTTATTCATTTACAGATAAACCAGAAAGTAGTCTGTCCCATAGCTCTCTGTGCTCCTCACTTGTCTTAAACTGTAAGCATGGTCAAAACTGCAAGGACCACCATTATATGTATATTTTTTTCCCCTCGTCTTTTCATTTTCTGCCCCATACAATGTCCTCTTGAAATAAGCTCACACTACGTTCCCAGAGTAGAGGTAAAAACTAAACAAAATAAAGGAAAAATGAAAAGTTGGGGAAGGGAATATTTTCTTGTATTATTTTAGTCAATTTAGTAAGCTTCTGATTTGCTCTGGTTTTAGGTCTGTGCCCTTACATGAAGCTCTCACAGATACTTTGAAGACTGGCAGAAGTGTGAAAACACAAGAAATAATTGATGGAGAATGCATTTGAGAAACAGCTGCAGAACATGATATAGTAGAGAAGAATACATAGAGAGAGACTTTTCTGGGAAGATACTGTGAAATTACAGGAGACGGTGCGCTGCAAAGACGTGTACTGTTTTTTTCAAAAGGGTGAAACAAGCTGTAAACAACTATCAGGTGCTGTTACTGCATAGCTAGGATTGTAGCCTTCACCTTCTACTGAATAGTAGATGGCAGAGGACTGACTTTTCTGCGTTGCGCTACCAAAATGCACATCATTTTTTCACAGGCTGAGCAGTAACACATGCTGCAGTGTAAGATGTATAATTTTTTTTAGATGTTCTTAAGTTGCTGCTTTCTGCAAAATGGAAATGGTATACTTTTCTGTATTTGTAGTAAATAAACTTTCTAAGCTGTTTAAAAGCGGTCTGTGTATTTGTAACTTATTCTTACGTGGATGGTATACAAGAGTCATGCAGTTTCCCCTAAAAATAATGTTTCCATTGAAAGTACTGGATTAAATTTTAAAGTATTTTTTGTAAACATTCCTCAGTTAAGTAGTGTTGCATTGAGATTATCACTGGTTTTGTACATGTCTCTTGGAAGGAAATTGAGGTGCATCAACTTGGATATTCTCAGTGCTGGTGCTGGGTGTTGTCTTATATTAACAGGGAAATTTTTGTCATAGAGTGGCTGTAAACTTCAAACATCTGGAAGTTTATATTTCTATCGTAAGATAATCAGCTATTATCTAGGCAATTATTACATTGCTCCCTTCCTGTACCCCCCCAACGCATTTTTAGATTTTTGTAACATTTTTACTGTAGTTGTGGGTAGCATCTAAGTTGAGTTAGTAAGAAACATCACTACCTTTCTTTTTTCTTTTTTGTTTTTCAATTAGATTCATGATACCAATGGCACTGTCAGCATCTTTGTCACTGCAAGAGTTGAGAACCAGGAGATGTAAAATATTCTGAGTCACTGTGCTGAACATGGGAATTTTATGTTATAAACCCTGAATTAGTCAGAGTTCCTTCAGAGCAGATCTGTAATCCCATGGGGCATCATTCATTGCATTCCTTACAAGCTAGTGGGAGAGTTAGTACTTCTAGAATCAGCTTTCAGCTAAGTCATATGAAGGTGCATGTGCCCTTGCTGTGGCAGCAAAGTCCAGCAAAATTATGTAATAGAAATGTGGTATTAGATAGAGCTGTGAGACTTAAAGGGTTTTCCCTGTTGTATATCTTTCACCTATTCCAGGACCAACAGTCCATTTTTACTGCAGCTGCTTATAAAATATGATTTGGAATTAAGGCTCTCCTATAACAGCCATGATTAGATGTTAGGATCAGCATCAGTAAACAACTGTTGAGCTTTATTGCTAACTGTATCACTTAACTATGGTTTGCTGCAGACAAACACATATTTTTGGAGTTTCATTAGAAAATATGATGATGCTTTGCTTCTGAACTGCATCTGTTCACCTAGTAAATTTGGTAGTAGGGAGTTAAGTGGCTTACAAGGCTCTTAAGCATCCATAGGTTTGGTATGAGTCGCAGATATATTGTTGCTTAATAACTTAGCTATAACACTTCTTAAGAATTTTTTTTAAAATGACAACGCTGTCATTATATATGTACATTATTTTCTTGCATAGGATGCATTCTAGTCTAGTTAATGGTTATTTTCCTACGTAAAGCTCACTTGTACTTTTCAGTGCAAGTGTGAAGTTGTTATGCTCTTGGATGAATTTACTGAGGTTTCTCTTTAAATGTTAAATATAACATGTAAATTAAAAATAAGTCTAAAAACACAAAAAGGATGCGAAAGTTTTTAAAATTTAAGCAAGGCTGTAAGCCATACAACAGATGACTTCCAGATGAAAATTAACAGTTTTGGAATAGTAAAAACTTGTTACTTATATGTTTTCACTCCAGAAGAAAATTACAGCCTTTTGAATCCTTATGGTCTAGTTTTAGAATTATCTATATTGTGGCCATTTCAGCACGGCTTGGAATTTGTTGTTCAGCAGTGAACATGAAGAAAAAGCATCTCTGAACGTTCACGTGTATCGGTCATAGTTTTATATTTCTTGCATACAGAATCATAGAGTGGCTTCAGTTAAACAGAGCTTTCTCTTTGCATGTATTTTAAAATGTTGTTTTTCCTTACAGATATACCACAGATGAGACCAAAGCCACACTATGTAATGGTTAAGAAAGATGCTGAAACCAATGAGGCAATATATTGCACAAAGGAACCTTTTATTAAGGCTCGTGTTATTGTCATTCGGTGGTTGGTGTCTTTCTGGCTTGAGCCAAAACCCCATACAGGGCCTCATATTCCTGGGATTGAAGGTGAAAATGTGCCAAAGAATATTCAGGTAAAGCCAAATACACAACATTTTCTTGTTTTTATGTTTTTCACTTACTAGTATTGCCAGCAGTATACAGTCTTTTGATCATTATAATTAATGAAGAATTGAAAAAGAGAATTTCTAAAAAAAAAAGAAATTTCTGCTTATGAATTCAGTTTAAAAGGAGTCACTATAGTCCTTTTTTTTTAATCTGCTAAATATTTGTGTTGTAATCAAGTAAAAAGCTTTGAAATACTATAAATTTTATATTTGTTCTTTTTTAAACAGTACAGAGAATTCGTGAAAGAGTATTTCTGTGTGATTTAAATTGTGCCATTCAAATTGTATTACTAAAATGTGCTATGAAATACTCTCTTAATTTTTCTTTCAGAGAGCAGCTGCTAGCATGGCTTCAAGAGAAGACAGCAAAAATGACAAGCAGGATACTGACAAGCAGGATAGAAATGCAGAGCCAGAACAATCGCATTCTAATACAAGTACTCTAACAGAGAGAGAACCAAGTTCTTCTAGCCTCTGCAGTATTGATGAAGAACATTTAACTGATATTGAAATTGTCCGCAAAGTCTTTTCTTCTAAAAGAAGTAATGTCAATTTTCTAACTGAGATTTTTCGACAGGTAAAAAAAATCTTCCTTAGAATACAAGAGCAATAAAATTACACTATAAGTGATCGTTATGTCATATTTTTTCAAGTGTATTAACTAACTAGAACATTATTTAAATGTACTTTTTTTGGTCATTTTGACTTAAAAATGCTTTTAAAATTAGAAGATATTTCAGAATCTTCACCTCTTATGTAGAATGTCTCTGGACCCTGCTTTTTCTAATTCTATTACTTTGATAACCAGCTTGAGAGAATTTAGCTTGGACTTTACAGTTTGACAGGAATGTTTTATCTCTTCAGCCCCATAGCTGTTATAACTCACAACCAAACTTAAATATAAGTCTGCAGCTGTTCAAGATCTGTTTTAGCAGCAGTCAAATGACCTTACCTTGTCAATATTCACCAGAAAAGTGAGACAGATGGCTACAGAAGGTAACAGATTCTGTTTGTAACTCTACTGCAACCAGACACATAAGCTGAACATACTCAAGATAGTTTTTTATAGCTGGAAACTTTACTGAACAAATTTAAACTAAGAGTATATTCCAGAATATCAAGTCTTTTTTTTGTAATACGAAGATACATTGTTTTGAGTTCAAACCAAGACAATTAATGGAAGATAGACTTTCTTTATGCCCTATAGCATAAAGACTTACAGGTGAAAAGGTTTTTCCTGATAGTATTAAAGAAAAATTCCCAACTTTCAGTTGAAATGCAAATAGATTTCTTTAAAGAATAGGAAACTAAACATTAAAAAACTCCAGTATTTCTGGATGAAATTGATATTATTGAATGAGGTGGATGTCAGAAGCTTAACAATATCCAGTGTGTTGAAGAGTTTGGACACATTAATGAAGAAAAAAGCAGTTACTATATGGAAACTGTCACTCGAAGGTTGACAGTCTGAGACATTGAATGGAGATTCTAAATTAACAGAACTATTAGAACTCCTTCCTTTTTTTTTCCCCACACTTATTTTTAGTGTGATATTCGTATGATATATCCATTTCTGGAGAGAGAACATCTTGTTTTTGTCATGTGGGTATGCCTTGAAGGCATGGTCAGTGAGTTTTCAACATTCACACTATAGACTCCATAAAACTATGTGCTAGTATGGTTTATCTGTTTGTTTTTTTCCTAATACTACTAGGTCATTATAGTCTTTGATAAATTTACTTGTGGTTAGTTGAAACCTGACTAATATTAACACTTCCTGATCTCTGACTACTCATTACAGATACAGCAGTTACATGAAACATCCTGGAGAGGGCAGAAATCAGTCATACACTGACTCAAATACATGATTTTTTAAAACAATAATTCTGAAGTCTTTTCAGTGAATCATTAGTTTTAAAGCTACTACTCTGACTACTCTGAATCTCTTTTAGATGAAAGTAAAATATATGACTATGAGTAATGAATATTGCTTGCATTTTTATTAGAAGTTTAGAACTGATTTAATTCTACTCTTCCAAGTGCTTTAAATGGAAGGTATTGTAGAAGAAACTTCTACTCATTTGTTTTCCATGCTTTTGATGAGTATTTAGGCTTTAATTTCAGCAGTGCAGACACTGAATAGATCCATCTGTGTAGATTCTCTTGTCTGTCTTTTTTTGCAGAGAAGTTTTCAAGTTTTCTTGATAGAGCATTTTCTTTACGACCTGTTTGCACACTTTCACATTACAGATGAAGAAAGTGAGCAAACATTTAGGCTTGTGAGAAATCTGCTAGTCAAGATCCTACAGTGGTTGTACTTTATTTTCTCTTATCCCTTAGAGCTTGCCTATTATAAAGCAGTGCTTAAGTGAGTTTGAAATTAATCCTAATGCTTCTTTACTTTATACACTTTGCACCTAAAAATGTTCAGCTCTAGATAGCTTCTAGCTTGAAGCCACACCATTTTAGCCATTTTTCAAGTATTGTAACGGGGTTTTGTTGGTTTCTTTGTCTACTCCCAGGCATTTCTGTTGCCAATATGTGAAGCAGCTGCCATGAGGAAAGTGGTAAAGGTGTATCAGGAATGGATTCAGCAAGAAGATAAGCCTTTATTTATGAAAGAATCTGAAGAAGTAATGCAGTGTGCAACTGTAGATTGTGATGAAAATGTTGTAGACCGCAATTCATCAGAGAAAGCAAAAGAAAGAGAAGAGGTGAAATACTGTTGACTGCTATTTCTGCATCTTTAGCACAGCGGGCAGAGGCTGAGACCAAGTGGCTTATTCAACAGATTATATGTGGTTTGGGTTGATGTTAAAGCATCTGTTGGGGGAATGAAGCAACAATAATTAAACAGTGTGTGTATGAGCTACCAATTTGCTCTATTATCTGTAATTTTTTAATGTGTTTAGTTCAATTTTAAAAAGTCATAAAGTTTTATAAACTGGTTTCAAAGTATGGTTTGTATAATAATAACATATGCAAGCTTTCAGCTGAGTACAAGTTGTATACAAATAAGAGTGATGAAAATATCAAGTATTTAACCAGGTACTTGAAAATAATTCCTACAAGCCTTTTAAAACATGATGCTGTCTTTAAGATACGTGTTAAACTTCTGTCTACTATTTATTACTACATACTTTTTCTTTAATGTAAAACAAAAATACCTGTCAAAAAATCAATGTGAACTTTAAGGGCAAAATATTTTTCAGGAAAAAGCTATGAACTCCAGTCATGTTAGGAACTCAAACTGGGCAAGAAATGGCTGTTACCAAGAGACTTTGCATAAAGTATCTGAGATTGATAATGAAGAGCAAAATGTACGAGCTGGAATGCAGTCAGTATTACAGGTATGGAATAGACTTAATATTTAATTTTCATCCTACTAGTAAAACTCATGATGTCAGCACGTAAAGAATGGAATATAGTATTCTTACAAAGGATTCCCATGCTCTTTCAAAGCATCTCTCAATTTTTCTAATTATTTTAGATACAATCAAGACTTTGGAGGGTTTTTGAAATGCATTTATGATCATGTAAAATACATGCATTTTATATATAGTATGTACATGTACAAACTCACAGAAGTGTGTGCATGACTTCAACCTTCATAATATTCGTCTATCTGGAAGAAAATTGATTCTAAACGAAACAGATATTCATTTGCTACTCTGTTCTTTCCAATAACAACGTAAATGACCATTCTAATTAAGATTTCTGCAGCTTGAAGGATTTCCTTAAAAAGGATTTCCTATAATGCTATAATTAAATATAAAAATAAACTTTGTAACTGAAATGAATTTTATATTCAAACATAACAATTTAACCTTCTTAATCTTTGCATACAATATGTAGAGTATGTATGAAATGCTACTAAGAGAAGAAAGAACTGTCTCTCAATTTGAATTAATATTTAAGTTTACGTATCTGTGAACGCTTGGGAGATTCTCCATGTTGATGTTTTTTAGACAGAGGATCATTTGAACAGCAAATATCTTTCTTAGCTTGGAAGATTTAAAAGATGCCAGACTCGAGGCATACTACCTCAGTACAGTGTCTGAATTTGAGAGGTTTTCAGACCTGGAACCATGTTTGCCTTTTCTGTGAATCAATAATCAAAGACTTTTGTCCACTGAATTTTCTTCCTGTTCCTAGGCTTATTTCTAGGCTCTTAGAGACTTTCATTCTGAAAGCCTTAATTCACTGTCCATTGACATCAGTGCAGAACTGTCATTGACTTTTAAAAACGTTGAATCATTCAGCCTTAAGAAGGCTAGATCACCAGAAATAGTGTATGAGCCGCAAAAGTCTTTGCTAGACATTTTTTATTCTTTGTAAATATACATTATATTACCATTTTTCATCCCAAGAATGTTACATTAAGCAATAATACACTAAAGAGCACTTGAGAGGACAGAATTATTTTCCATCTTAACAATTAGTGTGTTGGCCAGTAATTATTGGCTTCTGTGAAAAATATGAATGTATTTGGGCCCAACCTCCTTAATATCTCAACTCAAATTGATTAAAAAAAAAAAAACAACCTGGAAAAAAGTTAAAACAGTTATTTAAGCTCTAATAATATATGTTTTTTTTTTTTAATCTTGTTGCTGCTTAATGCTAACATAATATCATTCCACTGCACAAGGAGCAAAATTTAGTCAAAGCAATTCTTAATGCCACTGACTGTTTTTCATTTATTTCTGCGTATTATGAGAATTATATCCTTTTGGCTCTGAGCATACAGATTTGAATTCTGTTAACTCCAGCATGTATTTTGGCAAGCTTCCTAATGTAAATATCTAGGAAGTGGTATTTGTGAATAATCAATCTTGACAGCAGTTAATTGTGGTAGCATTCATTGTTTATATGGGACTATTTCAAGTAGTTTAGCATGTGTTATACTAGTCTGTTGCTGGCTTGCAGGGGAACTTTTATGCTTAAAGAAGCAGTAGACTTCTTTACTGTCACATTTTGTCCATTATATTAAATAATTGGATTGAGTAATTTACTGTAACATATATCTAGGAGAACAGAGATATACGAATGTTTTATAGAAAAAAAACATTAAAATTAATAAGTCTTGTTTTATTATCAAATCAAACTTACATGTATTTAAATATATACTTCTGAGTGTATATGCAGCCGATTTTGTTAATCATGGATTTTGTCTTTCTTGATTACTATTAGCAGAATTGTTGAAAATATCAAAGTGCTTCAAGCTCATTACGCTTTTTTTTTTAACCTGTAGGTTTTTATAATAAATTCTTCAAACATATTCTTTCTTGAGCCTGCAAATGAAATAAAAACTCTGTTGGATGAACACACTGATATGTGTAAACGGATTCTTAATATCTACCGTCACATGGTAGTTCAAGTTACTATGGACAAGAAGACCTGGTAAAATGCTGTTGTTTTTATCTTAAATTATTATTTCATAAGATAAATGTGAAAGTGTTCTTTGTGGTAAACGCAATAGGATGGTATTGGCTGTGTGAATCAGTTTCTCTAAATCAATAAATACATGAACTGTAACATCACCAGCAACTTGCGATAGGGAAATTGGTGAGCTCCTCTGCTGAAGCCAATAGTCATTGCTAGCTAGTTTGAGACAGCTTAGCCTTAACAAAAAAAGAAATAAGCTGGTGTACATGGACTACTATTAAGTAGCTAGTGATGGCTTGCTTTTTTCCAGGAAGTTTTTCTCATGTATGAGAGTGCTAAGTATGAAGTCATGTATGTAGCTTCACAGTCTGATTTGAAAATAGACAAAAATACTCAGTTAAGTCTGGATAATTATTATAATGGGATGTGGGTTGCTCTTCATCTGCAATTAATTTCAGTTTTAAAAGTTTGTGCAAGAGTCCATCTACTATTTAACAGTGTATTCCATTCCAGTGTTTAAGTTGCATAGGAGGAGCCTCTTACCAAGTCATTTGCATTATTTCCTCCTCTCTTTAAATAACTGTCTCTAATGAGGTAGTATATTGCCACCATTCTCTATTGCAAGGAGGCAGTAACAAGGGGATGTCAAATGGCTGATTTATTCCATTTTAACTTGACTTGCATTCAGTCTCTCACTAGTATCTCCTGGGTAAGTACCTTATACATCATGTGAAATTTGTCTCCTCTCATGAGGAAACAAGTAATTACCAATGGAGAATTAGGAAAAGTGACAGAAAACAGATCTTACTGAGTTGCTGTTTTCTTCCTCAGTATCTCATCATTTTAAAAAGTGACTCCAGACTGTGATGACAGAAATTCTATGTTACAAAATAATGAAGCTTTATTTATGATAATGTTACATTGTCAAAACCTGTCATTTATACATTAAAAAAAAAAAAAAAAAGACCTTTACCTTACAATTTCATTAATTTCTTTTACAGCAACCAAGTTAGGTTGTTTGCAGTGTATTTGAGAAAATCAAGCTCAGATATTATTTTTAGAACTATCTTGGTATATATAGAAATATAACAAAGTGCTGACTTTCAATTTAATATTGCTTTGCAGGGAACAAATGCTACTTGTGCTGCTCAGAGTTACTGAATCTGTGCTGAAAATACCACCCCAGACTTTCTTGCAGTATCAAGGAAGAAAAAATTCCACTTTAGCAGGAAGACTTGCGGGACCTCTTTTCCAGGCAATTGAACCATACATTCAATTTAATTAATTCAGTTTAATTTTAACCAAGACACATCAACTACTGTTGACTGATTTGTCATCTTAAGTCATTGATTGTCCAGATAATGTGAATGGCGTGGGTTAAGCATTTGGTTACATCTTATACTGTCTAAAATTAATGGCATTCTAATAATTGTTTTCACATCACAGTGAAATTAAAAAGAAATGCATTTCATTAGTTGAGTTAACTGATAATTTTAGTCCAATTCCGTTGCAGAATAAAATCTTAGCTCAGGTCAGCACAAAGTCTTTCGTGCTATCTTTGCCTATTGAACTGATTTTTGTATTCCTTTCTGTATCTATAATAGATGACTTCAAACTTCATATTTGCAAAATGATGTTATGATGCCTTCTCTATAATGTCCTCAGATTCTTTAGAAGGGGAAAAAAAAAAAAGGACAGTAAAGTTACAAATGTGATGAGAACTAATTGAGAATAGTGTTATAAAACTGTCTGGCAAAACTTGTAAAATATGGTAAGATCTTACAGAAGTTAAATCAGTTGCTCCTATATTTAAATCAAAAGCACATGTTAATTGATTATTCATGAAAAGTCTGTAAGTAATGGTGAGGAAATGAACACAAATTTCTATGGCAGTTAGGTACTTCTTTTTAAGCAGTAATGTTTGATTATTGTCATCTTTTGTTGATAAGCCAACATTTCTCATTTTATTCTTAGACTCTTATAGTAGCTTGGATCAAAGCAAATCTAAATGTGTACATCTCTCGAGAACTTTGGGATGACTTACTGTCTGTCATGTCATCACTGACATACTGGGAAGAGCTGGCCACTGAGTGGTCACTGACAATGGAGACCCTAACTAAAGTGTTAGCCAGAAACCTGTACAGTCTGGACCTCAGTGACCTGCCATTGGATAAGTTAAGTGAGCAGAAGCAGAAAAAACACAAAGGCAAAGGTAAGACAACACTGTGATCATCATAAGAATCTAAGCAGAACTAATGAGATGTTAGATCATCAGAGCTTTAGTCCAGTGTTTTCAGGATACAGTTAGGCTTCTCTATCACCTAAAATAACCTAGTTTCTATAAGATAAAGCTGCTTTTTATAACCACCACAAAATGCTACCACAAATGTGCAGTCCGGCAAATAGGCTCGTAAGAATTTAATTCTTAAAGATGTGTAGAATTAAACCAAAAATTGTATGCTGCCATGGGTTATACCTTTCTACTGTTATCAAAACAATTAAATAGTTGAGTCCCCAATCGTAATGCCTTGAAATTAGGGAGGATTACATGTCTGGTGACAATTAAGTGGGTAGAAAGTGGCTATTGCAGGCTTAACTGGAACATTGATCTTGAAATCTTAAAAATGTTGATAAAAGGTGAAATGTTAGATGAATGTAGGTTTGGAGAAATAACTCACTGCAAAATCATGGAGAAGATTGGTTTTGTGAAAGTGACTGACTGTTGAGGTGAAAGTATACTAGTGCCATGTTTATGGTATCAATTTTTAAGCTGATTCCTATATGATGTAGAAAAAACTGTGTGGGACAAAACATAGGGAAAGAGGGTAGCTACTTGCTGATATTGCTACTGTTGAGACAGGAAGTCTGTCCTTTTGCATAGAATGCTGAATTGACATCAACAAAACCTGGATTCTGTTCCCAGATTAGAAACTGAATTTCTGCGTGTCACCATGAGAAATGATTTCTGCCTTGCTTTAGTCATCTGTAAAACAAGGGGAATAATACTGATCTTCTTTAAAAAGAGCTTTGAGATCTAATAGTAAGAGGCAGAATTATGTGTAAGACGAGTAATAAGGGTGGAGAACAAGTATGGTTTTCATCTACTTTTTAATCTCTCTGTATTCTGATTGATGTGGTTCTCCATTCAAACCCGAGGGAAGGTACTCACTACTTCCCTAGTGAGTGAGAAATAATCAGTGCCCTATTTTAAAGAGAATGTTCCTATAAGCTGTTTGTAGTAAAGTAAAAAGTAAAGTAAAAAATTTCACGTCTCGTTCCTCATCTTGGGCACAGACATTTCACACTTTCATTTTCTTCTTCTGCTACATGACAGCTGAACAAACTTTCTTTTCTCTTCAGTTGACCTTGAGAGTTTGTTCCAGACCGTACATTTTTGTTTGCCTGTACTATATAGATTTTTTCTTCTGTCCATAAGAGAGTTTAAAAAATAAGTATGATGTTGGATAAGAATGTATATTGTTATTTTGAATACAGTCTTTAAAAATATTTTGAACTGTCTGCATCACCCATATGGAGCCACTTGAGAAGAGTTTATGCTAACTTTCAGTAGCAAAATTCCAGATAAAGCTTCTTGTTAACTGTGGGTTGCAGAACTAGCTCTAGTGGATTTGGGAAATAATTAATCACTTAAATATTATGCCCAATTTGTTTGGACCTGCTCATTTGTTAATTATAATGAATGTGTACTATGAAGGCACAATTTCCAAGGAGATGCCCTTTAATGATTTAATTGTGATCACAATTTGTGATCATGAGTCAGTTCAGTGTGAGTAAAGAAATACATTGCAAATGTTTTTTCAGTTCACTGTGATTTCTTTTTTTCTTTCTTTTTTTTTTTTTTTTTTACAGTTTTTGGAAGATTCCACTTATGAGCTGTATTTAATTTGATATAAATCTTAATTCTGATTTTGTTACATCTTTACATCTTTTCTTGATCTCCTTACACTATTTTCTTTTTGTGTGTTTGTGAATTTTTGAAGACTTATGTTTCTTATGTTATTATGTTCTTATGTTCTGTTTTACTTAGTTACGTGTTTGGTGTTAAAATATTTTATCTTTATTTCATGTTCCTCAAGTCACAGTTATTTGACAAACAGTGGCATTCTTAATGGTACATCATGTATGATTTTGCGTGTTTTGTCTAATAGAAATAGCAAAAGTTGAAAGAAAACATTCTCTTACACATCTTGCCTATGATCTTTTCAAAACCAGTTTTCCTGTGATTTTGGACTCACTTGATCAGAAAAGAAAATCACAATCGCATAATAGCACTTCTGAAACAGTTTCAGGATCCCTCAGTTAATGCTGAGTGGGCTCAAAGATACTTAAAAAAAATAGTAATTAGCTGCTTTAGCTTTTAGCGTCATGCTAGCTCCAGTCATTTATTCTATCCAACTTTAAATCTCTCTGAAAGAGCACAACTCTCTGGTGATGCTAGCATAGAAGTGTATAGATTTGCAATTCTATTTTTGCAGGAGTTGGTCATGAATTCCCCAAGTCTTCAGTGGATAAGTCCTTTTCTAGAGGCTGGAGCCGTGATCAGCCTGGACAGGCGCCAATGAGACAACGGAGTGCTACAACCACTGGATCTCCAGGAACTGAAAAGGCAAGAAGCATAGTACGGCAGAAAACTGTTGGTATGTATCTGTTAAGTGCTGATATAAGTGACATTTGAGAAGGGGGAAGGAATTAATAATTGGCTTTGTAGCTACACGGTTGACTTTTTTCCATAGAAGTATACTTTCTTAAGTAACTAGTTGAAGATGGAAGTGTAAATTGTGCAGTCTTGCATGTTTTGAGGGCAGCTGAATAGCTTGTTGTTACTACAATTGCAGTAAATGAAAGTAATGCAGATATAGTTTAATTTTGAATAAGTTGATTGCATGCTTAGCCTACATTAGAAAAATAATACAGTTGTAAGTGTGTGAAAAAGACAAAAAAAAAAAAAAAAAGCTGGAATGGTTTGAGCAATGTTATGGATAGGTGGCTCTTTAAGTCTGCATTTTCCTAAATAGTGCACAAAATAAGTTGAATATTTTCCAGCTGCAGAAAGAAAAGTGCAAGAAATATATACGTATCTGCATAATTCATAAAACCTGTTTTCTTTTACTATACCCAGAGTCTTGTGTTAATGAGAGATTGGTGCAAATGTGTGCAGTTCGCTGTTTCTGAAGTGACTTACTTCACAATTTCATTACTTGCAGATGCTCTTTAGTTAGAAATGAGTGATGCTAGACAGTGCTTTAGGTGGGTCGCTCAAAAGAAGACTCATTTCCATTTGTATGATTTGAGTGCAATGTCTTATTGAACTGGACTTCTAATTTCTTTGTTCTCTTGTCTCATCTTGCGGATCTTGGTGCTATCCATTATGTGAAGGAAGGTTATACTCTCTGTGCTTTTTCATTTAAAATAACATTTTAAGGACTATCTTTTGCTTTTTCACTATCTCTGTAATAGTAATGACTTCAGTCATGATGCATTTTTTTCTTCACTGATACTTCTTGGGAGCAGATACAATCTGGCACAGTTTAGGAAGCAGGAATGCATATTAGTAGTTGAATATACATTCAGTTATGTTAGCTTTTCAGAAATGAACATAGTTATCTTGTCACAAAGAAAAGATTTTTTGTGGTTTTTTTTCTGTCACAGATTATTTTGCCAACGTTTCTATTTGAACATCTAAAGAAATTATCTTACTCCATTTTTACATTTTGTTTACTAGTAGCATCTGAAGTCTTCTATTTGGTTGGCAGAGCTGATTAGTTGTAAACACTACTCCAAAAATGTGTATTTCCTGTATTCAGATGCTACACAGCTTTTCCTTTATTTCATGCTGACTGCTCTAGCTTGACTCAGCATTTTTCCTTAGAGATCACAAATACTTTAAATGTAATTTCTGCTTCTCTGTAAATAGTCTGTGATTGACTGTTGCAATGTTTTTCTCGTTAAGTCTTAATTGTCTTAACAAGGTAAAGCTCATGTTAAAATTTCTCCCTCTCATACTGTTATTTCAGATGTTCTGTAAGAAAGTTATACCACTTGATCAGTTTTATAAAGGTTTTATTTTGCTTCTATTTGAAAGATGACTATTCATATGATGTTAGCCCTAAAATCATTGAGTTTATCTAATCAAGCTATGTATTGACCTCATAAGTAGCAAACTAATCTGATTTTAGTTTCACTGTACTTTAGCTTCCTTCATTTGGTTCCTTGTCTACTTACATATTTGATATTAATAAGCCAAGTTTATACTTTTATGACCAGTTAAAATTTCAGATCTATTTATATTGTAGTACACCACTTGTGGATAAGCATCTCAGTATTGGTAGGATAGTTTTAAAAGATTAAAAGCCCAGACAAAGTTGCCAGCTCTGGAGTCCCAAACTCTTCAGGTTTTAAGGTTTTGATGAAGCATATACTACATAAGCATATGCCCTTCTTACTGTCTCAGGTCTGCTACGAGTCCTGATGAGGTTCTTCCTAGTTTGCACCAGTTAAAACAGGGTTGCATATTAAAAAAGTGGCTGACAGTGACAGTAAGTGAAATTTTTTGTATAGCATTTTGCTGGTCAGATTGTCTCCTTCAATTTAATAGTAATGCCACAAGCAAAACCAGGAACTGAGACAGACCTTGGACGTGTTGCATGATAACTGATATACTATATATTTCCTGTGATTGTGAGTAATATGCTCTTTATATCTGAGTAGGGGAGATGTGCATGTCGAATATTTTATGGTAAGAAAAAGCTGGGTTTTCTTTTTCTTCTGTTTTTTGTTGTACACATTTTGTGTACGTCTGCAAACCTTTGTTTTTCGAGCCATCCTCATACCAGCGCACATCTATGGCTGCACCAACTTTGTGTGTATGTGGTTTACTCAAACAAAAATCACAGCTTTTCTGATATGCAGTGTGTACATTTTTAGCCTGAACTTATGTAAAGTAATTTTTGGTAAAGGGCCTTTAAATGTGATATGCATACGGGTTGAAAAATCTTTTTAGGGCAAGGTATGGAATTTGTAGCCTAGGCAGCAGGTCCTAGTCCTATAAAAATATCAGGACAGAAAGAATCTAGGATTCCATTCCTCTGCTTTTTTCTGTAGACAATAGTGGAAGGTTTTAAAGCAGCAAATACCTAGTTCACATCCTGGTCTCAAATCTGCCTCTACTCAGCTAATTAATTGATATGACGCATCTTATTTAAAATATTCAGGGAGATCACGTTTTACAGCATCTCGGAGTAATTTTCCTTTTAAGTATCCCTAAAATTTCCTTCTTCCAAACAGTCAGTGAGAAGTCCTGACCCCTCTTGATAGAATCAACGTAAAATGGTGGGAAGGATTCAGTCAAATTAGAAGGAACGCTTCTCCTTTAATGATTTGCATTCAACATGGTATCCAATCTCAAGAGTTTGCTCTGTTTTCTAAGTAGCTTGATATTTTTTTTTTTCCCTTGCCTAGATTCATTTAAAAATGCATAATGATGAATGCAATGCAGCTAACTGTTGCTGTATTCTGAATTTTAATGTTGTATCTCTTAAAGAGAATTTACAACTGTGCAGGTAGTTGCTTTTTTAAAAAAAAAAAGTTGCTTTCTGTCTTATGAGGTTAAATGAATGGCTTCATTCTTAAAACATTTGTCTTTCTGAATATTTTTTTTCCATACTGACATTAAGATTCTGCTTAAGGTGTGCTGCATTTGTCAAATGTGTTTTCTGCTCTATATATGTTGGCCTACAGAAGTTATCTTCTTGTTGCTGTGTTAGGGACAGTTCTCTAACCTGATGTGTAAGTGATTTGTGCTCCAGCTTTCCTGTACTCCATTCTGTTCTTATGACTTCCATGCAGATCAGAAGCACTGAAATTTCAGAGGGTATATTCCCTGTTGTTTTGAAATTATGCATACAAAAGTTCAAAGACTACCTAAATGCTGTGCTGGCAGTGTTTAAGATGCACTCAATTTTCCTTAAAATAAGCTCATCAACAACTATCTTAGCGTAAGTTCTCAAATTTGCAACTATCTGAAAAGAAAACTGCTTGAAACTATGAACATTACTTTCTGAAGAACATTTGCTGTACTTTGAGATTGAATGCAATATCAGTTCTTGCGATATCTTACTCTGACAAAGGAAAACAAGTGTAATAAATGTTCAATTCAGATCTATTGGAAAAGCTATACGTATGACCTTGATCCTATTGCTACAATTCTTATTTAAGTTTTCTTTCTATAGGGACTGTTGGCAGGAGAGCAGATACAAAAGAGATTAATTAGGATCAGTTTAGCAAGATTTATTCAATATCTAGAAAAATAAGAATGTAACACTTTGTTGACAAACAATTTCATTTCAATCTCTTCATTTTTAATGCAGAAACATGCTGTATTGTATTGGAAGTTTCTCCACATACAGTTGCTTATTTTCTTTTCACATTTTTGAATCTCTTTCTGAGAATCTTGAATTAAAGACTATGGTTACAGGTAAAATTTAGAGATACTTGTCTGTGAGTAATCCAAAGGAAAGTAGAAAAATGTAAATGTAGACTAAGTTGTTTTTCTGTTTAAGAAAATCTAAATTTCTGAGTGCTTGTGGAGTGGCTTTAACTTTGATTTTTCAACCCTTGATGCAGTAGGAAAAAACTGTTAATTAGTTTCTTGGTTTTCGAATGCAAAATCTCTGTAATAGTCGTAATAAAGGCATTGTTACTGCTTTACATAAAAATTAAAAACTCAAAATGTCTTATGTGTCCACTGATTTTTTTTCTTTCTTACAGCTCTGCCAATATCTGCCGTGCTGAAATGTTTTAATTTTTAAATTTTCTTCCTTTTTATCTTTGTTTTCTCTGTTGCTGCTTTTTCTGTGACACGAGCCTTTCATTATAGTCACTCTTCTTTTTTCCTTCCCCACTTCTTTCTTTTCCTTTTTAAAGCCATGAGAAGCCGATCCATTGGTGAATGTGCTCTGCCATCGGCCTATATACGCAGTGCTAAAAGTGCTCCTGTTCTGATCCATACTTCCAAACCCTTCTTGCCTGATATTGTTCTCACTCCCCTTTCTGATGAGCTTTCAGGTAGTGCCACCTCTGCTAATTTCTGCACCCCCTTTATCACTTTTTTAAACCTTCTGCTTTCAAATTCTGCAAAATAGCTAATTTTTTGAAAGTAAAAATACTTGGGGGATGGGGGGAGAGGGGAAGAGATTAAGAACGAATATTTGGAGTTATGTAAAATATCATGCTATTTTCCAATTCATTCTGGAACTGTTAGAAGTTAGTGCTGTGCCAATGTTTACTATCATAAAAAATAAAACAAGAGGAATATCTTGCTTTTATAATTATTTGGTAAGCAGTAATACAACTTCTGTCTACCAGAGAGTACAGCTCATCTAAAGATTTTGTCATTAATAAGGGAGGAAAAGGAGGAAGTTTTAGTTTGACTTGCCATTTACATCTTTCTTCTTAAATTCCTGATTTCAGTTCTGGATGTTGTGTGGCCAGCCATGATAATGATGTAATTTAGCTCCCATGAAAAAAAAACCTTATGAAGTGTGTGGTTTCATTTAATATGCTTTACAGAGTGCCTGATTTTATTAATATATAAAAATATTATGCATATATATACAGTATTGGATTCTGGATTCTACATTTGGTTTTCCAAATCATCTGTCTTTACAGATTTGTAATTTTCTGTAATGTTGTATTTGGCCACACAGGATGATTAGCTAGAATTTTTCACAGTAGTTTTCTTTTGGATAATTTTCTTTCAGCAAATAGATAAGACAGTTAGGATTATTTCATATGAAATGTTACAGATAATATTGTCATTTTTTTCCTTGTATTCCAGCTATTGGGTAGAAATTAGTAAAGTGTAAGCTGACTGTTATATTATACCTTTGTCTCAATGAATGAAAAAAAACAAAATTGCATTCAAAAGGCTACATACAAATAGGACTTAGTATATTTTTGTAAATAAGATAGGTTTAATTTTTTTTGCACTTCTCACCTGCCTCTATTACCCAAGAAGAATCAAGAACTGTACGTTGGAAATCAGACTTTATTGTCATATACATGCCAGAATGTGCATGTATTTTAGCATACATGTTTCCCACCTAATGCTGAAAAGCTGCCTTTTCTTTCCATCTTCAAGCAGAAAAATAGGAGGTTAGGTTGGTGTAAGGAAAGTTGCAATCAATTGGGATTAGCTAGAACTGCCAATTTCACTTTATTCCTTAGTCCAGCTTATTAGGAAGCAGATAGTATTTCTTCCAAATAAGTGCACTGTTAAAGATACAGTCCTCTGCAGCAACAATTGTAACGTGTTTGGTAAAAACTCTTTAGGAATTGTTAGATTCCCATTTTGATTGTAACTAGTGTGCAGGCGTGAGCTCTGATTTCCAAGGAGGCTGTTCATTTGGATTTTAAAACATTATCTATATTTTCAGTGCTGATATTACAATAACAGTGTATTTCCTTAATTTCTTCTGTTTTACAAAAATGAATTTTCTACTGGCACAAGCACTACATGTTTGTATGAAAATCTGTGTGTACTTGTATGTGCTATTCACACATACGTGAGCGCCTGTTAAGTAATACTGGATCAATGTTGAAATAAATCTAGCTGAATTTATTTCAATGTGTGGAGCTGCTTGGCGTGCTTTTAGAGTTCTCCATCCAGTAATTTTTAACATTCTAGAAAATCATAATCACTGCATGCTTGCCTAGTATGCTATCCTTAGGCTGATAAAAGTGGAGTTTATCAAACATGCATATTGAGGCTTAGGATGAGATCACTTTATCATATTAATTTCATCAGTTATATTATTATACAAGTTTTAGATGCATCCTGTGATCCTCAGATGCTGCCTTCATTAAAACCTATTTCTTAAAGCTACGCAGAAACTATTTAAGAATAATCCCTGCTAGTATCTGCCTAAATCAATTAAAGAATCTGAAATACTAATTCTAGCTAAAGAGTGACACCCTTCATTTCAGAGGATGCTACTCTGTATAGTCAGTAATAAACAGAATAGGAATATTGTTGAAAAATTTGCTGTCGATGAAAGCTGAAGAGAAAGGAAAGGGTTAATAAATTGTGCACTATACAGCTATTCTCAGTTCATGTTTATTTTCTGAAAGAGCTTGTATGTCTACTCTCACCGTAGACTTCTATGTCTTGTCTAATAGCTGCTATAGAGTTCAGTAAACTTTGAATCAGGTCAAACTTAATTTTCAAATTAGAGTTTCCTTGAAAAATTGAACTTTTCATCTTATTTCAACACATATGTTAAGTGCAAATGTATCTGATTCCTCCGGGTTATATGCTTTGCTCAGATTCAGCTTCAGCTCTGACTTTCTCAGAAAAGTGTGAGCACTTCAAAATGGCCATTTAAGGTGACTTCGGATTATCATAATGTTGAAATAGTTGCTGACATCTATGAAGTAATCATCTGAAATATTTTAAAATCAATTCAACGTAATTTCTTGGTTTTGACAATAACACATCAGATTTGAGGGAGGGGAAGGGGCTTAAATTGTGTGATATCGTGAATTTAAGTAAATGCAGTAAATTTAAGTATCACTCAGTGCTGAAGATTAGACAGAACAACAAGGTAAGTCTGTTTACTGTGGCAAGTAAGTGTTGTTGTTTATTTAAGCTCTTTATTGTTATTCCTGTTTTTTAGAAGAGATCTAGAACAAGTGATAGGCCTTAAAAGATAAATCTGGAGAATAAATGATTCTATGAAAATGAAGCCAGTGGAAAACTAAGCTGTTTTTATCTTATGTTTCAAGTTCCTATCCCATAAAGAGCGTTGAATTCATGCAATTTTTTGAAGAGACACTTATCCTTGTCTGTGTTGTTGATTATATAGTATTTAGTATTCCTATTTATCAAGAATTTTGATGAGGAATGTGAAAGTTCTTTATTTTGGTGGATGATATGAAGTGGGCTGAATATATTTCTGTACATTTCCTCAACGACCCATGTTGAAACTGTGGCTTTCTTGCAGTTAACTATGACTTATACCGATGGTGAAGTATTAGCAGCCTCAATAGAGACAAGGAATTGCTAATTTAAGTGGTCATAACAATGGTTCTTGTCTCGTTGTAAGTAAAAGTGATTTTACTTCAATGTTAACTGTTGTGTGGCTGCAGGATTTGTTCAATATCTTTATTATCAAATTCTTAATTTGATAATTCTTATGAGTTCCTTGGGTAAAACTGAAAGAAGGTAGGGAGGTTAGCTTCCTTTTAGCATTTAGTTTTGCAATTTCAAGATGAGACATTTCACAAAACATCCTTTTAGGGAAAAAAGATATAAATATATATATATCCATTATTTATAGTCATCTTCAGCTCTTCTCTGTTGTTTAAAAACTTTAAATAAATAAAAATTCTGAGTCTTCAGGTACACACTACATTATGTTTGCAGTAATATATAACTTTACATTACTATTGTTTCTGATATTTCAGTAATTTATGTATGTTCACATAAGTTATGAAAAAAGTAATAGTTTATCTCTTCAGTAGACAATACTAATTTGCCAGAAAACTTACATGTTCTCTTTGGAGTTGTGCATTTTTCTGAAGATGTAAATTCTATGAAGAGTAATACTGTTAAGCTAATTTTTACAGGTAAACATTTCTTCAAGGTAGTTGGAATAATATTGCTTGAATTATTGAACTTATTGGCACAGCCCTAGCTTTAACTGTATTTCCAAATGTTCCATGGTCTCACTGTTCTCATGCATGTTAACATTTAAAACTGTGTTCTGATGGTCTAACTCATTTATATTGCATTTTGTACTGGATATTACATGTGTTTGTTTTTAACACTCTAGTACTGAAAAAGTATTTTCATTGTACATAATTAAACAAGGCTCTGGACTTTCCTGGCTTTTTCAATCACATGATTAGAATGTAGCAGTAAATACATTTTATTTTTCTATGTAAATTCTGGTTTGTATTACATACGCTTTTTTCCTACAGACATTGATGATGCTCAAATTCTTCCACGTCCACCTCGAGTCAGACATTTTTCACAGAGTGAGGATGCTCCAAGTGAAGTTTTTGGTGCATTAAGTGAGGAACAACCACTGCCACGAAGCAGCAGCACCTCTGACATCCTGGAACCATTCACAGTTGAACGAGCCAAAGGTGCAGTTCCTGTCATTGACAGTTCATCCCATCATGCTCCAAGTTTACAAAGTTCCACTGAGACCTCTTCAATGCATAGATCCACTGAAAGCCATATTACTGATTCAAATAGCAGAGAGTCCTCCTTGGAAGTTGGGGATAGTATTTATGACCATCTTTGTCATTTAATAGGGCCAGTAGAATTTGCAAACACAACCTTTGAACAAAACCAGTATGTTGACCTTGAAGGTGAAGATGATCTTCTTTCCTCTCTGAGAGAATATCTTAAAGAAAAAGAAGAACTTTGCGGTAACTTTGAGATAGATGAATGTGAGGCTTCTGCTCACGAAGGTGATACATCAGTAAATAGGAATGATAGATTACCACTGGATGGATTAGAAAATAGTGATCAGACTGGTCAATGCACGAATAGCATCACTGTTACAGAAAGACCTGATAACCCAGAGCTGCACCTAGAACAAAACCAAAGTGGCTTTATAAGTAATATTGCGCCTACTCAAATAGACATTTTTGCAAGAAATGAAGCACTCGATAAAGTCAGACAGTTAAATATTGATAAACAGTGTGAAAGTCTGTTTGATCATGGGCCAAGTAGTCCTAGCATCAAAGAAGGAAAAAGATATCTGTACAGGCAAGCAGCCACTGAAGCTGATGTAGATTCAGCTGTGGAAGCAGCGTTAGCTGAGAAGCATAAAAGTGCTCAGTTTAACGAAAAAATAACCAACTCACGTGTTATGCATGCAAAGAAAATTCTTCCTAAAGCACAAGTTAACCCTCAAATGCCTCACATCACAGGTACAAGCAAGCTGTCACCAACTAAAAGGAGTATATCTGAAACAGTAACTCATAGGGCCAAAATCATGAAAATAACAGCTAAAAAAAGAAATAGCGTTCATGTAACTTTTAGACCATCTACAGAATCGGTTCAATTTTACAATCCTCTTGAGAACAAAGAGGCTGCATGGAAAGCAAGACTTCGTAAACTTAGTGGCTTCAACAGTAGTGGTAGTGGTAGCAACAACAGCAGTAGCAATACAAGCACCAGCCCGTCAGCTGCCGTGGAGCTGGTTAGACCTGGAATGTATAGACCTCTAGATGCAATCAATGCTGCTTCACTTAGTAGCAAGCAAAGTAAGGAAATTGCAGAAACTCAAACAGCCATGCTGCAAAAGGAAACTATTGCAGTTAATCAGTTCCATAATCGTAGTGCATTTAGATCATCAGGTCAGGAGTCAGCGCAACAGCAGGGCTCCCTGGGTGGTGTTTATAAAACTGTTGTACATGCTCTTTCGAAGCCGAAGGCAAATGTTTCCCCACAGAGGCAGAACAGAATGCCAGCAGAGGCTCCACTGAGGGATCTGTACAGTCATGTAATGGGCTATTTTGGAAGGAGAGCTGCAGGTGAGCACTGACAGTGTGCAGAGTGCAAAAGGAGAAAGGCAGCACCAGTTTGGCTTAATGCAACTGAAGCAAGCTCTGATAAGCAATCAAAAGGCTTTGGGATGATCACTGCTTCTCCTGTTTGGTTATGCATGCGCCTATAGCCAGCTGATTTTTCTCCCAGCCTAAGTTACTTTTACATACTTTAAATTACTAATTTTCCTTTTAAATATATTTGGTTGAACCTCTTTGCTGCTGAAGACCATCAGGCTAGGGAAGAGGAAGAGACAGTAAATGACCTAATAAAGACTAAGCCTTGAACATTTTGAATTTTCATCTACCATATAGAGCCTCAAAATTCCGCCTACTGAATGACTGGCACGCGCACTTTATATCAGAATGTGCTATTCTGCTCCAACTACTTTGTTTGTCAGAAGGACCTGGCTACCTACCAGCTAGGTTCAGTTAATTTTATTTCTGGTTCATTTAGTGTATTTTCTTCCTCCTCCTCTCCCCCTCCTCCCTATCCTCCTCCAAAACAAAAAGGCCCCTCAAATTTACATTTGGAGGTCAGTTTAGATATCTTTTTAAAAGTAGTTTGGAACAGAAAGCTGTTACTGAAATGATTTTGTTATCACATTTCTCTGTGAGTAGTCTTAAGGTTTTGTGTGACTCTTTTTTGAATTGTGCTGTAGGCCTTTCTGTATGCACTCATCAAAATTGATACAGTTACATCTTGGCAACATCGTGGATGTTCATGAAGGTCTCCTGATCGTCCTCCTGCTTACTGTGAGACCTCCATGGATTGATCAAAAAGAAGGCTGTCGCTCTGATATCCATTGGCTTAGTACAAATCATAAATAACCTTAAACGAACAATAAATTAACTTTCAGCAGTAATGTAGGTTTTCTTTTTTCACCTTGTTACACTGGCATGATTAACAGCAGATTCTGTAATGCATCCTGCATTGAGATGTTAATGCCACCTGAGGGCAGTCTGTGAAAGCAGAGCACCATAACAAGTGGGCAGTGATGTGATTGTCACCTTCCTCAAAAAAGTTTTCTGCTTCTATGCAGAATCTGAACTTCTGGAGAAAAATTATTTGAAATCCATAAAATCTAGCAGAGCCTCACTATTAGGATAAACAAAAACCCTGTTGTGGTCCCATGAGAGAGGACACTGAGGGAAAAATTATTGCAGAGGAAAAATGAACTGAGGTAACCTGAAAGCTTTAAAAGATCATACAGTTAGGTATAGCATCCACAGTCAGATACAGAAAGTACAATTCTATCAAAAATACAAATTGATAATTGAGTGAACTTAATTGTTCATCACCGTTGACCACCTAGAGATTGAATTTTCATTCAAAATAGTAGCATGTTATTTTATTACATAACATTTTTTATTTGCACTATTTACACTAAATGTATACAGTGCCACATTGCTCTTCATTAAGAGTGCAATGAAGGAGTACCTATAGGAATTGTATAAAATTTTTAGGATTTATTACTTATTTTTTTTTGTTATATGGAGGAAGAATACATGCTGTATCCTTAAAGCAAGCATTAACAACTTTAAGTAGTGCTTACCTATAAGCTTTCTTGCTCTTAAAGGTTTTACTGGAAATTCACTAACACCTGCTTAGTGGGAAGAAGTGGTTTTACTAATTCCTACAGTAGAATCTGCTTAAAAAGTGGGAGAGTCTTAAAATGCATGTTTGGCAATTTTGAATTTTTAATTTCTTCTTATTAGCAGGGCTTCTTTGTTTATCTTTTGTTTTGAATATGTGTTGATGTGTTCTTTACTATATACAATTATTCATTTGCTTTTAGCTAATAGAGAGGACATGAGTCAAAAGCTGCACCCTATTGATAGTGATATTGGCAGTAGCAATACAAATGTTCCTGACCTCATGGATGAATTTATAGCTGAGAGACTCCGCAGTGGTAGTACACTGGTAAGCCTTTGAACTTCTCCTACATCTTATGATATGTAAGTCTGCATGTCTGTGTGAATATTCATGTCATTTATGAATGATTTCATAAGTCAGCTCGCTACTTAATAAGATCGTCTTACTCTGGATTTTATGTATCAGAAAGACTTCAGAATATCACTAATATATTCCTTAGCTGTAAATCATTTTTGTCACAGGCTTATGTTATTTCATGCATTTTTTCTGTCATTTCTATTAGAATTTCATTCTTCAAGCAGAGCAGAAGTAACTGGCTGGTGACTAGTCTCATTGAATTAAATGGTTTTAATTGCAACTGAGAAGGTTGTCGTACACAGGCAGTTTCAAAGCAAATGTTCACGTGTAAATTTGATGTGCTTAGTGTGTTGCTGTATTTAGGCACCATACTGGAGTACAGGAATGTGGTACTATTCTCTACAATTTTAGTTAGTGCAACGGACTACAAAACTACATTTGCATGTTTTTCCTTTTTTTTTTTTTCCTTTCACTTAGAAGTGTTGAATAATTTCTTGCAAATAACTTTCTGTTAGAAGAACCATTTTTTTGTATTATTTCTTCCTACGCTTTTCCAGCAATGTTGTTGTGGTTATGTTTCATAATGGAAAATTTCAATCAATTTTAAGTCAATAATTTCTGGTTACCTTTTAGTACTTGCCAAACAAAGCAACTGATTTGAAGTGTTCTGAGGGCTTAGTTAAGTGTCACAGAAGGGGGACATATTCAAAGAAATGTTGAAAATGAACAGAATGGGTAATAATTGAGATTGTTTCAAAGCTGTGTACCTTTAAATTATTATTTTTTTAAGGAAAAGGTTATTTTAGACATGTCAAGTAAAAGTTGTGTGTAAAAGTTGTCAACGAATATCATAGTTGTTGCAAATGAGGAACAGAAGAAGATTTTTCAAAGTGATTGGAAAAATTGATTTATTTATCATCATCTTTAAAAGGTGGTAAGACAGGGCCTGTAGGATTTGTTCACATGTATGCTTTTTACTCTGTTGCTTTGAATTTATTTTTATCAAACTTTGTTTCATCTTGAGTTGCAAGATGAAAATGCTGTTTTGAAATACATTAAATATAAACTTCAGGATGCACATCAGTAAAACAGAAGTCATCACTTCTGTTTTTCTGATCGCAGGAAAAAAAAAAAGAAAAGGGAGCATTATTCATGTTCACATAGATGGGCAGGAATGTTGATTGTTAGTCAACATTCAAAAACTATTAATAAACATTTGAAAAATTGATACTTTTCTCAGGTAGGAAAAAAAAAACAGCCCAAGGTAAGTTTGAATAAGCACTATGAAACTTTGCCTGCCAGTGAAGTTGCAATCTAGCACACAAAAATGGTTATTCTGTCTTAAAAAAAAAAAGAGTACCAACTTACTATTTTTTGATTGCTTGATCAATTGAATACTAAAACCTTGTATGTTGTTAGAATTATCAGTTAAAGTAAATAGCTAATTTGTAGCAGGATGTTAAAGGCAGAAGTGAAGTGACTAGACATAAGATAATTCGCCTTTAGTCCCTTGATTTTCAATGCATAAAGAATTCAAGCTGTTTCATAAAAAGGCTTATCAATGTTTATCTTAGTTCCCACTGAAGCAGACAGCTGTACTTTTCACTGCCTTTTCTGCTCTGTGAGGAGTCTTAAAGACTCAACTAGGGCAGTGTACGTTTACATGAGCAAATATGTATGTGTTGTTTCTTCTACATGCTCTTTTTTTGTCTTAAATCAAAGCTAAGGTTTTGGCTTACACATAGGAATATTAACGTGTGAATTAGGAAAATTCTTTTGCTTGTGGTGTATGTTAATTTTTTTGCTTGTATCATCATAGCCTATTGACCAAAACCCAGCAGATTTCCTGAAATCTTTTTTTCTGCATGATTCTGAAATCAAGGTTAACAAGACTTGTTTATCAATTTAGACATAACTTGGAGGTAATGTGTGTTTTTACTATTTTTTCCAAAGTCTTACCAAATAAAGTGGGGCATATTTTGGTTTGTATCCAGGTCTTTTAAGGTTTGTGCCCAAGTATCCATTGTGAAAGCAAAATTGAAATTTACCGAATTGTGTGACGGCACGGGTTCTTTGCTTCCTGCTTTCTGGGGTTTTGGAAAGTCTTGCTCTATAGGATGATGACAATTTTTGGCTTAGGTGCATGTGTACGACTAGTTATATACAGACATTTGTGAATGTGTGATTGCTTTTCCTATTATAAGTAAATAAGTCATCCAAGATTGTAAAATACTTCATATCTCTTCAATATTTAGAATGTGACAAGACGAGGAAGCAGTCCTGGCAGCCTGGAAGTTCCAAAAGACCTTCCTGATGTATTGAACAAACAGAATCAAATGCGGCCTATAGACGACCCAGGCGTGCCTTCCGAATGGACATCACCTGCTAGCGCAGGCAGCAGTGACCTCATCAGTTCAGATAGCCACTCAGACTCATTCAGTGCCTTTCAGTATGATGGACGCAAATTTGAAAGCAAGTATACTTTTTCAAAAGTAGGAACGTTTTTGGTTGACTGCTTGTGAACTTCCTTTTCCTAATTTTTATAAACTAAATACCAGTATTCTTCTGTAAAGAGAGCGTATCTTGATTCCCCATTGAAATCACTACTAATTTAATGGAACAAAGCAGAATTCATGAGAATAACATTTGTGTAGTATACTAATGAGCAAAACAGCACTGAAACACTGCTCTACAAAAACTGAACAACAGTGCATAGAAGTTAGGAAGCAATACTGTCTGTGTAGTTTTCTATTCATTAGAATGTAAAAATGAAAGATAGCTTCAGAATTTATCTTACTTCTGAAAAAGTTTAGGTAAAATGTAAGGAAGGTCATCTAATATTTTTACAGTGGTCTTTTTATAGCTATAGATTGATAAAGATACTAAGAGTGTTATCATGGTAAAACTAGTAAGCTTTTTTTAAAATAACTTAATATGTTTTTCATTCATTTCCTGCATCTGTTCCTACTTAAATGCATACAAAGGTTATTGCAGTTGCTTAGAACTGTGATTTTCATAATTTTTTATTATTTATCGTATATATTGTAATGTATTGTATTACATAAGAGAGTAATATTATTTGGTAGAAGTATTTATTGTATTTCTATATGTATTGTGGATATGTAGATGGTAGGTAGCTAAGTGATGCTAATTAAACTATGTTTCAATGTGGCATCTTCTCTTAAGTGTTGAGAATGCAATTTGCCAGAATGTCATTTGTCATAATATTTTTAGCTTGAAGTTAGTTCTTTAATGAACAAGTTGGCTATTTCTAAGCTTATAAATTTTGCAAATAAATTCCTTAATGTAATTTTCCATTATTTTTACTTTATTCTCATTTAGGTACACTTACAGCGACTAAGCAGAATACAGGACATGCAATAGGAATGTCTTCTCCAGAAGTTCAGTCGCAGTTTTGTGACAGAAATGAGAATGTCCATAATAGCCAATTACTTTCTGCTTTTACATCTTATGTAAATTGTGCAACAGTGTGTTGGAAGCATAGGAGATGTACATACAAGTTTTACATGGAGGATTTTGGAGGTGCTAGGCTTTTGTATTTTATATTAGTGGTATTTTTAAGTTATCAGTTAATACAGCTCTTTCCTCATACAGATTTCAGCTTTGGCACAGAGGCAGGGACACCAGCTTCCGCTGATGCTGATGCAATTTCAGGACAACAACAGAGTGCTGAGGAACAAGAAGTAGCCAGTCTAACTACACTCCATATAGATTCGGAAACAAGTAGTTTGAATCAGCAACCATTGTCTGCTGAAGCTGCAACTGTTACTGGTAAAGTAGTTAATAAATAAATAGTCATTTGTTTCAGAAATTTTCCACCCGTCTTGAAGCGTTCAAGACTCAGCTTCTGCTATGAATCTATATTCTGTAGAAGACGATTCTTGGATTTCAGTTATTTTTTTATTGCCGTTGTACACCCATTGATGGGTGAAATTACAAATGGAAAACTTTTGTCTGACCTAGTTACCTTCATAATCCTTTACTTGGTGCTAAATGCCTTTTAAATCCTTAGTGAGAAAATCTATACAATTATCAGAGAAAACTGTTAGCACATAATGTAAGCTAGATCTTACGAGTGTTTTTATACTACTGTAGTCAAAAAGCTAATTTTCAGTAAGCTATTTTTTCTTGAAAGGCTTTGCTGGTGCTTTCAAACTAGTACACCAAAGTCTTATGGGATTCCTTTGTGTACAGCTGTCTTAACTTCATTGTATTGTCTGTTGTGAAATTTGAATCTTATATAACGTGCAAAAATGTTCTTGTGACTCGTAAAATCAGTTTCCATTTGTGTCACTTATTTTTCTACTGGTATTTTTCCTTTTTTTTTCTCATGAAATAGTCTTTTACAAACTAAATGAGAGTTTCACAGCCTCAGTCAGTCTTGAGGCCCTACCAATTTATTTTACAAATATTTATTGAGAAAGGGAGAATAATGCAATTGTCAAATGATACAAGTAAGCAAATTGAATGGGCTGCTTTCTGAAAGAGAAAATCTTCCTCTCTGAGGAGTGTTTAGAAGGAAGATCTCTTACCATATTTTGTGAATGAAACATTCATAGACATTTTTATATTCCTTGTTCCATAACTGTTAAATACTATCATGCCTAACAAGTGTAGAACAAGTATACCTATTTATCTGTGACAGCTTACACCTACGTAGGTTCTGTTCTCTATGACAAATCAAACTACGTTTTCAGAGATGTTTAAGGACTGTCTTCACTTTCTTGTAACTATTTTCATGTTCAAAAATTGCCTTTCTGTTGAAAGAAGTATGATAAAAGCTTTTTCAACATTGTTGTTTAACTTGTTCAACAATAGTGAGCTTGACTTTTATTCTCTTTACTGTGTACTTGTTGAAAGACCTCTCAGAGAATCTGTTCTTTATCTGTTTGTTTGTTTGTATGTTAATGATTTCATTGCTGTTTGGTTGTTTTGTCCAAGTTTGCATTGTAATTGACAAGATTACAATTAATGACTGAGTTGTCCACTGAGAAAGTTCTGTGGCTGTCTTTTCTTGTTGTTTGGACCACTGTTTTAGAGAGGTGTTTTTTTGTGTGTCTCTTCAGTGCCCCCACAAAGTTGGAGCCCATTGTCTAATTTCTGTTAAATTCACACGTAAGAAGAAAACAGAGTTTCTTTGAAACTTTTTGAAACATAGGCAGCTGTACAGTGTAAATCACATGCATGAAGAGTCACCTGATAGGGAAGCTGCAGTTTGAATTTGGTGTGATTAGATAACAGAAGATCCATGTGGAAACTCAACTTCAAAGCACAGCGTCAAAGTTGAAAGCATGTGTACTGGAGTATCTTTTAATGCTTAGAAGACTTCAGTAGATCAGCAAATTTTCCATTGTTATTTCTGTCTATTGTTTTCCATCATATAAAATCTCTTTCCCCCCTCCCCTACTCTCCTTCCCTCCTTTTTCCCTCCCACTTTCCTACCCCATCACTCTTTTTTTTTCCTTCTCTTGGTCAATTTCAATCCCTCCCCTCTTAGTGAACAGAATGAAGAAGTAGGAAAGGATTTCGTAGGGCACCTTTAAATGTGTATTTTACATTAATTTTGTACATTGAAAACAAGCGGTCAGTGTCAGGTGGATGGTCTCCTATACTTATAAATGCAGAATATGGAGTGAAACAATATTCTGTGTGTGAATTAGTAGTGGAAGAGGAAAGGCATTGCCACGGTTTGTCATTTTACAGAATTTAGTGATGTTCATATGTATGCCTGTCTCTCCTACATAGATGCATTGATTTAAACTGCTGGTAAAAGCTGCATTGTTTTTCAGTCCAGTAGTGCAAGTTTGTTTAGCATTGTTTCTGTTCTGATAACGCTTCACATTTTTTGTCAAGTTCTTTAAAATGTTTAATTTTCTTTCAAAGAAAGAACATTTAACAACCAATAATTTGGGAAATTACTATTTTTAAGAGCCTCACCTTTTCTTTTATGTCCTTAGAGTTTAGTTTTACCTCCAGCACTGAACTTCACACATATTGTAATATTTTTTGAATCAGTCATTTTCCAAGAGTTAAAATTCAGGGACATTAATTCTTCCATTTTAAAATGTCCTGATGTGTAGGGAAGTATATAGTGAATACCTGTTCTTTATTTCTACTGCTGTCTCAGTATTCAGTATGAACTTGCCGTTTTTGGAAGAATCTTTAAGCAAATTCAGAAAGTGAAATTTGTTTAGCAGAAGATAGTGCAGGAGCCAAGTAATAGTGTGTGCTGCTCCTATGTAAATATCTCCATAGAGTAGATCAAGTAACTGCCTAGAGAGATTGCTCTGTGTTGATCATGGAAGGATGCCTTTGCACACTGCCATTCAAAAAGCTTGTATTCTTCCTTCAAGGAAGTAACATTCCTCTAACTATACATAGAACATTCCCTCCATACAGATTTTCTGATCAGCAGATAAACATCAAAAAATATGAGAGCTGTTGGAAAGGGTCCAGAGGAGAGCCACAAAGATGATCAGGGCACTGAAGCACCTCCCCTATGAAGACAGGCGGAGGGAGCTGGCCTTGTTCAGCCTGGAGAAAAGAAGGCTGCAGGGTGACCTCATTGCAGCCTTTCAGTACCTAAAGGGAGCCTACAAACAGGAGGGGAATCAACTCTTTGATAGGGTAGATAATAGCAGGACAAGGAGAAAAGTTGAGAGAGGGAAGATTTAGGTTGGATGTTAGGGGGAAGTTCTTTACAGAGAGAGCGGTGAGGTGCTGGAACAGGCTGCCCAGAGAGGTTGTGGATGCCCCATCCCTAGAGGTGTTCAAGGCCAGATTGGATGGGTTCATGGGCAGCCTGGTCTAGCACTAAATGTGGAGGTTGGTGGCCCTGCATGTGGCAGGGGGTTGGAGATTCATGATCCTTGAGGTCCCTTCAAACCCTGGCCATTCTGTGATTCTTTAAATATCAGTCCCTGGTTTGAGCTTTGATTTTTAAATCAAACTGCACACATCCATAAACCTGGAAAAACAGTTGTTTCAGCAAAATTTCTGCTTAAATCCCTTACTCAGGAGAAATCTACATGCAAGCAGAATAAACACATTTAAAATTATTTTGATTGAAAATAGAGCTCTGTTAGTCCATTCACCTATCTGATTTTGATGTTCATCTCTTGCCTTTCCTGTATGTAATTTGTTGTCTCTTGAAGCACGATTCACAGGGAAATCTGATAGCAGTTTTTATATCATTTTCTTTTTTGGCCAAATTTGTTACATTAAAGTATTTAAATTTTCTTTTAATGCTGTGTTTAGAAATTTCAGTAGCTCAAAAGAACAGAAAAGGCTTTTAAGGTAACTGTTAAAAATTGCATTTGCAGGCTCTGAAAGTGCTTCTCCAATCCAATCTGCTCTTGGATCCCGATCACAGACACCCTCTCCTGCCACTCTTCATGCAGATCATATTGAGCAGAAGGATCTGCAACTGGATGAGAAGCTCCACCACTCTGTTTTGCAGACGCCAGATGACCTAGGCAATATCTGGAATAGAAAACATAAACCTGTTTTTCCTTTCTTTTGAATGCAATACAGTGAAGTAGATAGTATCCCATTAGCTGTAGACAATCCTGTACAAAGCTATTTCATCTGCACTTTTAAAAATATTTAATTGCAGTTATCTTCTCAGAAAGCAAACAAAGACCTTTCTACATTTTGTCTTGCATTTCATTGGAACTATTAGCAGTGGATTTCTAGTCAATATATTTATAACTGTTCTTTTTTGATACATAGAGTTGTGCCAACTTAACCTAGTATGTGGTCCTGCCATGGACAGTAATGTAAAAGTAATAAGACCTAATTTTTAAGTAATGTTTTTATTTCTTCTTTTCTCTTTAATATTTATACAAGTTTATAAGTTTTAATTACTTTAACTATCCAAGTTATTGAATTTTAGAATACATCTGCTTTGTAAACACAAAGTTCTCATTTCTCCCCTGGTCAGTCTCATGGAAACAGAAAAATGTCTGATGGGTATTTCAGACCCTTTTTTCTTTAAAGTAGTCTACTGATGAACACAAATACCATCATTTTACTTTATATTTTGTAATTTGCAACCCAGAAGCCATCAGTGTCTCTACCACAGTGGTCCAGATCTTCAAATGAAGAGGCTATGAGATTAGGCTGAATTCGGATTTCATTTTCATTTTGTATGCCTATGGGAGCTGCGTGAAGATCTCAGCAAGTTCTGGTGCTGAGGTGTTTTTAAAACCTATGTGAGAGGTACAGGAGGAAGAATGTGGATACCTTCTGCTTTAAAACTGTGGTTTCCTTAGGTAGTTTGCTTTGGCTGTTTAACCACATAAAGTGTGAGCCATTGTAACGTGAGCATTCTTTCTATGGTCAAACTGGAACAGATCTTCCACTAAAAAGGACATATATTGTGTAGAGATAATGTGTAACGATGCATAGGAAGAACGAGGTGAGAGCGGAACTGCCACATTAGGTTACTGAATTAGGGCTCCAGTAGTAACCTTGAATGTTACTTGTGGACAAAATATATAAGAAACAAAACAATGCTTCTAGAGAATTTGAAAGTAGTTATGTAGTTAAAGTTTCAGTTTTGAGATGGCTTAATGGGTAAGAAATATCTTAATCTAAAAGTCTGATTTTTTTTTTTTTCTCTTTCAGTTTTAAGGAAACTATGTATGTAATAGTTCTGGCAGAACTTTTCTTTCTGTAAAGAGGTAGATCTCACTGTGCTTTTTTCTTCCTTTGCAGAAACTAGTGAATTCCCCTCGGAATGTTGCAGTGTTATGGCTGGGGGAACACTTACAGGATGGCATGCCGATGTTGCTACTGTGATGTGGAGACGAATGCTGGGAATTTTAGGAGATGTCAACAGCATCATGGATCCAGAGATTCATGCCCAGGTTTTTGATTACCTGTGTGAACTGTGGCAGAATCTGGCCAAGGTAAAAAAAAAAAAAAAAAAAAAAAAAAAAAAAAAAAAAAGAGCCTCTTATCCAAGCTGTTTCAACAAGAGAAGGATTTTCAGAGGGAACAACCATCACCTTATATATTTCCCTTACTTTCATTTTATTTTATTTTATTTTAATAATTGCAGATAAGAGACAATCTTGGTATTTCAACAGATAACCTCACTTCACCATCTCCACCAGTTTTAATCCCACCACTGAGAATTCTAACACCTTGGCTGTTCAAGGTAAATTTGAAAACTAAGCGGTGAAACAGAAATAAAGATATATTGTTGCAGAAGTGTTTAATTTGCTTTTTTCTTTTACGAATAATCAGTGTTTTTTTAAACTGTAGGCAACAATGCTGACTGATAAATACAAACAAGGAAAGCTACATGCTTATAAACTCATTTGTAAGACAATGAAGCGAAGACAAGATGTATCTCCAAACAAGGACTTTTTAACTCATTTCTACAATATAATGCACTGTGGACTTCTTCATGTTGATCAGGTAAGTTTAACTATGATGTTCTAGTTAAAATGAATACTAAAACTAAAAATGAAATAGTCAGAAATACTGGATTTTTAGCTGAGTAATTCACTTTTCCTTTAAAAATAGTTATGTGACTGGTACTTTTTCCAGGCTTTGGTAAATGGGCCTATATGTTCTTCATTGTAATCAGAAATGCTTTTTTGTGGTCTATTTTAAGCAAGTAAGAGGGCAGAAAAGGTGTTCTTTTTCTTTTTTTTACTGAGTGCTGCAGACTGAAGCACGCAAGAATGAAGGAAGCAGATATCTCTAATGTCTACTGGTTTTATTTGCTCCCTGATGGGAGCAAATGGGAAAGTGAATTGTCATCACTATATGTCTGGTGTAGTTACATCAGGTATAGAAACTAGCAAACAAAGACATTTAATCAGAGGAATAGATCTTACATGTTTTAGTATGAACAAGTCTGAAAATAGTACATGGATTAAATGTTCTTTTTAGAGATTCACATTACAAATGTGACTGCTTCATTAAGCCTACAGTCCTATAATTTAATGTGTTGAATGACTATTATGACTATACCAGCAATGTTATAAAACACTATGTCTTTACATGTAGTTGTCTTTATATTATGATTACATAAAAGATACATAAGAAGTTAACGCTTCTTTTAATATTATACTAAGGTGACGCTTGTTGGAGAGGATTTAAGCATGTTGTTAAGAAGATATGAGCAAACTTATCTAGTGGAAAGTGACACTGCCCATGGCTGGGAGGGTTAGAACTAGATGTTCTTTAAGGTTCCGTCCAAATCAAAGCTTTCTAAGATTCTAAATAATAGCTGGTTATCTCTCTGTCTGTTCTGTAGCTATTTAAATGAATTGTTAATCATTTATAAAACTCTTACAATCTAAACATTAATGACTTAATACAAAGGTGGTACAGTAGTGTCCAAGATTAAATTGATCTATAAAGTATACTATACTTACATTAAGATGAGTGTACATATGGAATGTAACTTTTTTGTGCTACTTCTTGCTCAGTAGTGAAACCTAGAATGTTCCAGTTGGCACAGTGAATTTACATGCTTTTTTATTCCCAATTTTCTGTTCAATATCTGCCTTTTTTTCATTATTTGTTCATGTTCTTGACATTCTTTTCCTTTTTTTTATTCTTCCTCGTACAAGGATATTGTCAATACAATCATCAAGCACTGCTCTCCTCAGTTCTTTTCACTTAGTTTGCCTGGTGCCACCATGCTTATTATGGATTTCATTGTAGCAGCAGGAAGGGTGGCAGCTTCTTCTTTTCTCAATGTAAGTGTTCAACAGTTCATTCTCATTAATGGGCAAGTTAGAAGGATTTGAGAGAAAACGGAGCAATATTTTTCTTTGACTGAGGTCTTAATTTGTCCAAAGAAGTCAATGTAACAGCAAATACAGACACTGTTAGTGTTTCATTCTAGCAGGCTACACATGCAAGTCCTTTATGGAAAATGTAATGTGAAGAATACTAAAATTGCTGTTGAAACAGTAATTTTAGAGTTCTAGAATTTATGATTGCCATTTATCTGCGCTTCAAAATGTTTTAAAATGAGTGGTCATTTTGGCTATAACTTCATGTTAGAAATACAGCTATATTTACACACATACATACACACTGCAATGACTTTCATAGTCTGACTTGAAAACTCCTATGTCTGATAATGTTGGCCTTTTATATTTCTGATATAGCACCTAGGCATCCTCAGCTTTTTATTGCAACGCTGATGTGATTATCCAAGTGCTGTTGACCTTGTGTGACTGTATTTATCAAAAGTCCCTAATACTCCAGTCCATTTGTCAGTGACTTTTGGCTCTTCTCATATAATTCACCTTTTAACTACTTCTGAAATTCAGTTTTCCTTAAAGCACTATCAGAGCTGATCTTTGCATCTTTTTATGCTTTTCTCTATCATGTCCAGCAATGTTAGCTGTCCAGGCCTAGTTACTTAGTCATTTTTCTGTAATCTTAACAAATCCTTAATTTCCTTTTGGCCAGCTTGGAAAATGGGCATAGTGTGTGTATGAGTAGTTGTCCACTGGGATATGATCTCAGTTTGCTCAGCTTTAGAGAATTTGGAGAAGGAAAAAAGAGATAACTGTGCAGAGTTTCAGCCATTGTTCTTATTTAAGGCAGCTAGAAATGTCATCTTTCTGACTGCAGTGAAAGTATGTTTCCCCTCACCTGTTTTTCTTTCAGGCACCAAGAGTTGAAGCGCAAGTTCTTTTAGGATCTCTTGTCTGTTTTCCCAATTTATATCATGAACTACCAGCTCTTCACCCAAACATTCCTGACATAGCTGTGTCTCAGTTTACAGATGTTAAGGTGGGAAATTTAAAGACTATTTGAATAGCATTCTGCCACCAATTAAATTATAATATGATGATGTTCCAGGAAATAATGACTAAATTTTTTCACAAGCTATTTCAAATAGATCCTATAAAATGTTGTGAAACATTATATTAATAAACTTACTTAGTGTTTACATAAGCTTTGATAGTAACCTGCAGCTTTAGGGACATTTTGCTGCAGTCCAGTCAGAATTATTCTTGCCATCATTCTTAAGGCCTGTAGTCACTTGTTCTATGGATACTTCCAAGGACTTTTCTAATTAATAGAATTTTGATTAGGAAAAAAAAGATCATTTAATACCTGCCTCAAAGTAACTAGCAGATGAATACTTTCTGTGATATCCTTTGTGATTGTTCACAGAAGTTAACTACAGGATGATCGTTGTTTGTTGGATTTTTTTTCTTTCTTTCTTTTATTTTTTCCCCATGATACTTCATGGAAATGTTGGATGAATCACCAGAAATTAGGACAGTAACCTGTGAGATGTTCTTGAGTTAGCACAATAATGTACTTCTGTGTCAGACTAGAAATTGATATAGTGGCAGCAAACAGTTCTGACCACAGACCTGGAGAGCCAGCTACATGATGTGTCTGTCTGTCTCATAATAAAATTCTAATTTTCTAACATTTTATGTGATTGTGTAATTGGCAAACCAGTGAGCACTTTCCTCTTTGTTTTAGGAGCTCATAATTAAAACTGTGTTAAGTTCAGCCAGAGAGGAGCCATCTGGTCCTGCACGGTAGGTCATACAAAAAGAGCTTCTAAGTTAGTAGTTACTTTTATATATTATGCTATTTTGAAGAAGGTAAATTAAAGGTTGTAAAGTAAAACTTTGTATTCTGTTCATGCTTTTCTTCACTACCATCTAAACAGTCGTCTACCATTTTAATTCAGAATGGTTTTTAAGTAGCTAAGCCGCTGTCCATCATATTTGAGAAGTCGTGGCAGTCTCATGAAGTCCATGGTATTCTGGGCAAATTTCATCCTTGTCTGCTGCTTTGAATGCATTCATCTGAATATTCTTGATTTAAAGACGTCAATGAGTAGAAATTTAATAGTAAAGTTTTGTTGTCTTTAAGCAAGGTATTCTTTATTAGCAGTGCTGGGGTAGCATCGAGATGAATCTCCAAGAATGCTCCTATAGTTGATCGTTCGTGAACATGTTATATTTTCATGTGTATTACATATTCATTACATTTCCAAATTCATTATCCTATCCACCCCCAGTGGTTGCCCAACAGACATAGACGTATTTGGCAATCTTCAGTGTCATCTAGCCTTTTAGCACCGTGATTGTGCCCTGTCAGTCCATTCTTAGTCCTTGGGGTGGTCGTTTACTTCCTCCCAACAGTCCTTTTGTCCCAAAGATTGCTGTGGAATGCAAGGACAATCGAGAAGTCTCTGAACGCACAGATAAGGAAGACAAAGGGAAACATCTTGATGCAGTCTGTCACATTCTAGGCATTCCGTTGTTGCTTCTTTTGCCTTGTTAAAGTAGACCAGCCTTACAACATGTCTCCCCATCTACAATGCTACATCACAGTTATCATACAGTGGTGTTGCAAGCAAGTATTAACAGAATATTTTGTGTAATTACTTCTTGAAATCATTCTTTACACTTTTTCACTCAGAGGGTGGTGATGCCCTGGAACATGTTGCCCAAGGAGGTTGCGGATGCCCCATCCCCATCCCTGGGGGCATTCAAGGCCAGGCTGGATGTGGCTCTGGGCAGCATGGTCTGGTGGTTGGTGACCCTGCACATTGCAGGGGGGTTGAAACTGGATGGTCTTTTCAACCCAGGCCATTCTATGATTATATGATTCTGTTTCCAGATTTTAGAGGAGGAAGCAACAATAAAAGTTACTTTTAATATTTAATCAGAGTGCATACAGTCTTTAGCATTCATTTACTCCTCTTCCATTCATCCTTTGTTATTGCCAATCTTTAAATACTTAAACATATGTGAAGTAATAAAGTACCCTTCTCCCATTTATTTGTCTCAGAAGCTCTAAACAAATATGAACAAACTCACACTGGGTATGAAGACTTTCCTCCACAGTTTTTTCTTTGTCTTAATAAAATACTTTTAAAAGATAAAATATTAATATTAATTCAAGAAGTTAATTCAAGAAATTAAAATATTTATAAGTGTTAAGAAAGATATTTTAAATCCATAAAACAAGCAGAGATGCAGGAGTTCTTAATTGCTTTTTGATTTTTCAGTTAGTCCTTCCTTCACTGTGCCTTGACAGAGGGAGCTGGTACTTATTGTTTTTTTAAGTTACAGGATTGTAAAGGTTTTTGGTGTAGAAAAAAATATTTATTAGGCTTTAGCAGGACATGTCATGAATATAAGAAGTGTGCAAATTCTTGTAGCATGCCTTTCAAGTTATTTATCCTCCAATATTGCTTTGCAGATGTGTTGCTCTTTGCAGCCTTGGTATTTGGATCTGTGAGGAGCTAGTTCATGAATCTCATCATCCTCAGATCAAGGAAGCCTTGAATGTGATTTGTGTTTCTTTAAAGGTGAGAGACTAACACTTTTGTGATGTATTTTACCTTGACCACAAAATCCCATCCGCCTACATTCTTTGTCTGTTCACTTCTAAATTTGCGAGCCATTGCGTTATGTAGTATAGTTTCTCAGGCATCAGCAGATGCATAGAGGTAGGTACAGTGCCTACACCACATGCATGGAAGCATTGGAAGATGTTTGATTCCCTGTGGTGAAGTTCTATACTCATTTCCAGACAAAGTCACTCAGGCCAGAATTTGTTAGGAAAAAAAAAAGAATCCAAAGACTGATTAAGGGTTTGCATTAAAGTTTAAAGTTTATGTGATTAAACTACCTGTTGAAAGGGAATAATGAGTAGTATGATTTTGGGAAGAGATAACTTGTTTTTATATTAGAACAGGAAGTAACTAGCCTGCTTACTCAGGCGTTTGTCTCTGTGGCCGTCTTATAACAGCAATTCATGGTCTTTTTTCCTGTTTACATGGTTACCAGAATAAAAAACGTTGATTAAAACTTTGCTTTCTGTTCTTTTGCCTATGCTGCTGCTTTTTTAGTCTCATTAGTACCTTAAATGTTAAAAGTTATAGCTCTGATTTGCAAGAAGCTGGTTTAGGGTAGAGTTTTATTCCAGTGTATTTCTCACCTTTGAATTATTGCCATTCAAAAACTTTTATTTAGAAATTCTTAATTGTTCCATCCACACTTCATTGCCCAGGTGCTTCAGCTTTCTTAAAGCTTTTTTTCTTTCTTTTTTTATATATATGTGAGATATACCTTTCTCTGATAGATTAATAGAATTGGACTTGTTAAGAACACAATCTAAGAAGCCAGTGAATTAGATCTAACTATTTTTATAACATAATTATTCTGAATTCAGAAGTCAGCACTTGGCCACCTTGCAACACACACCTGCACCTGTCATAGCTTCACTGCTAAGTAAGTGAAATTAGAACATGTAAACTAATTTATTAGCCTTTCAATAAAGGAGGAATTCTAAAGTCACTCATCTTTATCAGATAGATAAAATAGGATTTTTCCTGATAAAAACAGTAGTACCTAATTATTTTCTGGGTGATATGTGATTTCTTAGAAATAAGGTTTGGAGTACTTATTTTCACTAAAGACAGTACTTAAGTAATAAGAATATATTTGAAGTCCTTCCCTTCCCCAATACCTTGAGGCTATTGCATGTAATTTTTTCTTCTGTGAATTCTGTGCTGTCTTCAAAAGTCAGTAGTTTGACTATGCTAATAACCAATTTGAGTATATCTTAAGCTCAGAGTTGTAGAATTTTCATGTGCTAGATGAATGAAATTCCCCTGTAGAACTGAATTTGTGTTTGATATTTGATGCACAGTTTATATTTTAATGCAACTATAGCACAGACCTCCTCAGTTACATGTCCTGTGCATTAACACTTTAGAGAAATACACCTCTGCCTCTTCTTTTCTTTGTTTTTCCCTCATAGGAATCTAGGGCAGCATGTACATCAACTAGCAAGAATGGAGAGCAATTGTACAAATGCACTCATGTCTGCCTTGACAGTAACAGTTCAGGAGCTGTTTAAAGCAGGCTCCTGTGCAGTATCATTTTCCAACATTTAAAAGAGTACAGAAAAGAGGAGAAGTATAGAAGCCAGAGTGCATTCATTTCCATTCAGACAAGTGCTGTACGTAGCAGTCACTAACAAATAACTGAACAATTAATCTCACTATTTTTAGTACTGTGTCTTGTACATTAGATACTTGACTGTTCACCTGCCTCGGTTCTCAACAAAGACCTCTGATTTCAGAATCCTGGAGTTTTTCTCCAGTGATATGTTAATAATAATGCAGATAAGAAGTTAATTTGTTTGTTCTGGCTTCATGATATTATCCTAACCAGTCTGAGGTTAAACATCAAAGAGTTCTTTCCCATTTCCTTCATTCTGTGCAACTTACTTGTGGTCTGATCCAGACCTTGGATGTTAGCTGATAACATTTGTTTATGATTATAAAATCATTTCTTTTATATTTTGCAAAAGTTGTGAATGTGAATGAGTACATGAGAGCCACATGTTGGATTAATTCCATCACTGGAATTCCTGACCACCTCACCACTTAACATACTATTACATGAAGTCACAGTCATCATTACTGCACTGTGTTCTTTTCTAGTTTCCAAATAAAACAGTAGCTCAAGTTGCCTGCAGTATGCTGAACATGCTGATACATTATGTGCATAGACTTCAATTGTATCAAGCTGATTCACCTTTAAGAATTATCCAAGTAAGTAATTTATTTTTTTTAAAGTAACAGTAAGATATATTTCACTAATATTAAGATACCACAGTATTGACAAGTGTGTTTCACAAAATGTGAAACTGATATTATCTTACTGAACATCAACAGTATGGATTCATGTAATATTTACTTACTGACTCCAGTATTAACATGGCTTTAGCATGTCTTTTTTTCCTCCAGGATAACTTCATCATTATATGGATGAGCATATTTTAAATTAAGTAAATTATTTCATATTAGATAATGGCAAATATATACGTTTAAGTTTAGTAAGAAAGCAGCTATTTAATAGGCATCTGCAATTGTATTTTGCATATCAATTGATGTGTCAGTATAAAGCAAATATATTTTTCTTTAATACACTTTGAATAACAAGGAATTAGGCTATGGCCTCTGTGAGTCGGAGCAGAAAAAAGATAGAGGTCTCCCAGGTAACCAGAAAGGGAATTGTGTGGAAGCTTCTTGAAAGGCATAAGAAGGATTTCTCTGCTCCTGTGCAGACATATTATTGATTAAATGAAAAGAGGTTGTTTACAAGTTCTAGTATTTCAAGAAATAATGAAATTAGTATGGTCCCATATACAAGCCATCAGGATAATTCCTGCACCCTACAAATATGTGGAATTAAGTTCTCTTCCTGCCTGAGTATTTGGAGTAGCCATGTGAGTGCATTGAACCTAAAGATTTTATGGTACTATGAACTTATGTCAGTCATACATAACATTTTCCTGCATCTGAAATTCAATTAAAAGGGTTTTATTTATAAAATAAAAAAAAAAATGGCAAGAAATACTATGATTTGTCTTAAAATAACCTAAATGTAATTCAGCTATGAGTCTAGTATTGTGTCCTATTTATGTGCTTAAAAAATCACTTTAAACTTAAGTACTTTATTATTTCTGATTGTAAAGAAACTATGCTGTATTTTCTCCAGATTCTGATAGCAACAATTACCCATCTGCTACCCGGTACAGAAGCTTCATCCTATGAACAGGACAAGAGGGTAAACATTTTTAGTTTCTTTTTACTTACAAATAACTTACAAATGTGTGACAGTTTTGTTACAAAATTTAAAATATTCCTTTAAAGCAGGAATCCAGCTTAGTAAATATAATGCAGTATTGTCTTCCCAGACTTACAACAGTGTTCTCTATGCAAATAGAGACTTCTGAATGACTTTCTGAATTTTTTTGCTGAAAAATATGCTTTTAAAATTAATTGAAATAGATTGCTTTCAGTCATTAGAAAGTCTCCTGTCTTCTTCTATCTTTAAGTTAAGCAAGGTAGACTTTTCAGACTTGGCTTATAGTGAAAATATATTTTCAACTTCTTGGGAGTACATTTCAAAATACTCAGAAGGTTGTGAATTTTTATTTCTTCAAGTAAATTTTTCAGCAAGACAGTCTGTAATATTCAGATGAATTTAGTTGTTGACATCCTTCAAAACAATTGCTGTCTTTTCATATTTTCAGTGGATCTGAGTCCCCTGTTTATGATGGACTCTTTTTTCTTATAACCATCTTATACTCTCAGTTGTGCTTTCTGCCTCCAGAAAGTTTTGTCTTCTCTGAGTTATATTAGTTGCTCCAAAAGTAATCTGTCCTATTTATTTCCAACAGATACAAGGAGTATAATAATGCTGTTTAATAGAACAAATTCTCAACTGCAAAATAATATTTTTCAACATAGTCACTTCCATTAGCTTTGCATTTTCAGTGAAGAACAAGAGCCTCCATGCTGTGCTCGTAAAAATTTGCACCAGCAGAGGTAATCTGCTATCACTACTACTTTCAGAGCAGCCTTTGTGTTTGGCTTTGTTTTTGGACTAGGGGACCAAGAGCTGTGGGACACAATGGTCATTTAAATTTTGTCCCTTTCTGGATCAGTTTGTCCACGGAAGCTCTGTTCTTCTGGACTTCTCATTGCAGTTAGAACTGCAATTCATATGTTGATCATTTTGGCCACCAGATCTACATTTCATCTCTCCTCTTTGCTTGAGAAGTCAGTAGCTGTTGTAGAATATTGAAGTATATCGTGTTAACCAATTTTCAAGTTGAGGATGATTCCCATATGTGAAAACATTCCCCATGAATGAATGCTGATAATTTTATGCCAAATACTGCATCAAAAATGTACCAAAAATATGTTGAAATATTTTGATAAACTTAGTCCTAATGGCTTTCGTAAAAATTGCTTTAATGTAAAAATAATTGGAGACATTCATTGTTCGATCTATTTTATGGTGTCTTTGTGAGGCAAAATTGCAGTGTATTATGTGAAACAATTAAGATGTTTATGCATCTTTTATTAGTGAATTGCTTAGGTGGATTTTCTTTGAAAGACATACATTTGGATAATATTTTAGAAAATCCCACATCTATTTATCTGGATTTTTTTCCTCTTCCACAGCTAAATTTTAAAAATTAAAAGCAAATATTTGTAGTAAGTTATTAATAATTTGGTGTGTGTGTCTTAATCTGTCTCTGTTCTAGTCTTTAAAAATATCCCCTAGAGGGAGTTGGTTGTTTTGCTGACTGAGTACAATAGAGAAAGCAGTTGTATTGCTGTCAGATGATACCTCATGCTGCGTAGCAACATTGACAAGATGTGAAAGAAATTTTCTATTATTTATAAAACAGTAAATGTATGTGAATTTGTCCACTTTTGTGTAATCCTTGATTCACTTTAACGTGAGATCTACATTCAGAATAGTATGTCTGCATTAACTTGTATGTGTCCAATCTGTCATTTTGTAAACAGCATCCTGCAGACCAATTCTGAAGAATCATGGGTATCCTCATAAGTACTGTAGCCACTTACCAATTTGTCATAATGAGAAACTGTTGTATGGATAATCTTTGTTTAAGTATTTAATTATTAAAATAAAGCAAAAATTTTTACTCATACTATATAGCATTTGAGCAAACTGTGGTTTTTAAACAGGTGTGACCTGTAATGTCTGTGTAAGTTTGCCAGGTTCTCTAAATTGAGAAAAGAAAGCGAAACAGAGAAATAAAATACAGTGATAACTGTGAGGTAGCAAGTGCTGTTTTAATTGATTTGTAATTGAAAGTGTTTGTTACAGTTGGTAGTTTCCTTACTTCTGTGCTTATTGGATTGGATAATGGCCTTGCCATTAAAGACCTTGCTGCAGCCTCTCCACGCTACAGGAGCGGAAAATGATAAGACTGAGAGATCTGTTCTCAATTGTATTTATAAGGTACTTATAAATTATAAGTTTCTTTACTTGCTAAATCAGAATTTCTAGACATGAAGGAAGCGTCAGCTTTCATGAAAACAAAGACAGAACTTTTCTGTAAACTAACCTCATTTTACCACTGAAATTGTGCTGTCTTTAATCTTGTACATTTTGTAATTAACTGTGTGATCATTGGTATATTTGGAGTTCTTAATATTATCTTACCACTTTGTGATTAACTATATTAGGTTATATATGCCATACCAGTAGCAGACGCTTGTGTTGTAGAAGACCAGCCATGCATTTAAGGCATACAAAGATGTGGCTTTTATGTACCAAACGATTTTCTTATCAATAAGCAAAGCAAAGTTATCTTTACAGATAACTTTGGGTTTATTTCTGTAAATGTCAAGCATCTAAAATTTCCAGGATTTTGTCCTTACTACCTGTTCTTACAAATTAATTTCAGTGTAAATAAAATTAAATCTAATTTCTTATAAAACCATCAAACAGAAATTTCAGTAATTAACGTAATGAAATCCTGGTTTTGTTGTAGGTTCTACATGGATGTGTCTATGGATCTCAGTGTTTTAGTAACCCCAAATATTTTCCCCTAAGTCTTTCTGATCTGGCATGTGTGGATTACGATCCATTTATGCATTTAGAAAGCTTGAAGGAGCCAGAACCACTGCATTCTCCAGACTCGGAGCGTTCTTCTAAACTTCAACCAGTTACCGAAGGTTTGTCAAACTGCCTAAGTACATTTTCTTTCAAAAAGGTTTTAACTTTGTTTTCCAGTACTGAAATGTTTATTTAAAGCATAAGTTTTAAGTCATACCTTGACACTAGGTAGCAACATACTTTTGAGCAATTGCTATTTGATTAACTGAAATAAGTATCTTCTGAAGAACATGAAGATCAATTTGATATGGATTCTTCTGTGCACTGTATCAACAAAAAAAATTTTGAGTACTGGAACATGAATAAGCATTATTTTTCAGTAATTACTTTCAGTAACTTTTTTTTTTTACAATTTTATTCCTTTTTCTGAGAGTATTTTGGGCTTCTTTTTTCTTTTCTAAGCTTGCAATATTTTAAGCTTGTTGCTAATTTTTTTTTTTTACTTACTATACTTTGTTGTTGATCTCTTTATGCTTTTAGAAGAGAAATTTTCTCTCATCTGCTTGGAACTTTAAGAGACCTGGGAATTAACTTTTTCTTCAGATCTCAAAAACAAAAATAAATCAAGAAACTAAGATACAGAAGAGCAGTATTATACAGCATATCTAGTAGATATGAAATGGCTACATCGGGAAGAAAATTGAAAAAGATGAGATTAATACAGGCACCAGAAACTCTGTGTAGTGCTATTCTCCAACCATATTAAGTTGTTCCATTTAGGCTTCCTTAAAGGTATTAAGAACCAGATAAATGCAGAAGCTCTTTGTAGCAGCTGTGTGCTAACAGCAGGTGATTTTGTGGTCTGTAGTGACTACGTGCTGTTTTTTATGTAGAGAAAATGGCTAATCATTGTGCCCTTGTCTAAGGCATGCTTCATCATCCTCAAGTACTTTTTTGGCCAAAGAATTCTAAACATAGAGCTGTCCCCTAATAAGCTCAGTATTGGATTGAACAAGTCTGATTTGAGAACTATTGGCAGGAGGAGCTGTAATTATTAAATTTACTGAAGAATGAAGCAAGGTACTATAGTTGGCTTTTTGTCAAATGGCTGTGGTTCTTATTAGTAAAAAGTAATCATCTGCTGGGTCAGAATGAAAGAGGCTTCGAAAGATTCATTCTGTCCTAATTACAGTCTCACCTATACATATTATGTAAAGCTAATATTTAAAGCATTTGCCAAAATTAACTTCCACCGCATGTTCTATTACAGTGTGGAGAATTGTAGTAGCTTTTTATGCCTGGCATCTTTTGTATTCAGTAATAATCTGTAATTATGGGTTTGCAGCAAATGCTGTGTGGCTTGTTTAATCTGACAATCTGAAAAGACAACCCTGAATAGATTTCTCTTTAAATGAATGTAGTTGCACAAAGCCTTAGCATCGATATCTTCATTTTGCATTTCTGTATGTGATCTGTTTCTTTTGTGATTTCTTGTTAAATTTCTAAATAAAAGTAATTTCAGGCGTTGCTTTTCTCTGTCCAGATAAGTTAAAGAAGCCATATGTTTTCAAGGTTTCAGAGCTCTGGAATTTTAAGTCAGTTGGTGAAATTTAGTTGACAGATGACAGTGCTATAATGCAACCCTGGTCTTGCAGCCATGGCACTTCTAGCCTACACTGGCATTTTCTAACCCATCACAGAACATCTGTTCTGTTGGCATTGAGGGGTGGAAAGTTAGTGTGTAGTGACCAGTCTGGGGCTCATTCAAGACAAGGGGAGTCAGGTAGCACACACTAGCAGCAGAGTAGTATGCTAGTGGGTCAACTTCTTCTTTAGTAGAGTACAAGTACTATCGTATTTTTTTTTAAGATAATGGAAACAGGTAAAACAACAGTTGTAGGGAAATCAAAGACGATGGGGATTGCTAGACTCTTTCCTTAAGATCACAAGCAAAAATGAAAGCACTGAAACAGCATAATTTTAAAGACAGGATGGTTTTTATCAGTTGAAGAGATGACTGACATACGCACTTATGCCTCCCATTGTTCAAGATCAGTCGTGTTACGGTTGTGTGTCAGTTCATTTTGTGGACACTTACCCACAGTATGATGCAGAATGAAACAAGTATGTGGGACTTTCTATGATACAGCTATACTGTGGGGACAAGATCTATTCGGAGGTTAGAGCAAGCCGCCAATAAACAAAAGGACAAAGATTTATTAAATCCTCTGGAAATAGGCAGCAGCAGGAGAGAAGATGACTATGCCCGTGTTTGTTTCAGTGACTTTCCAAGGCCTGTCTCAGAGGAAATGCTATATACTGGATAATCATTGAAACTGTTTTTCCTCCTTTTGGCCTGCCCAGGGAGGTGGTGGAGTTGCCGTCCCTGGCAGTGTTCAAGAGGGGCCTGGATGAGGAGCTACAAGATATGGTTTAGTAGCTTGTGGTACTGATAGGAATGGGAAGGTGGTTGGACTAGATGATCTTGCAGGTAACCTTGTGATTCTATGATTCTTTTTATAGGTTTCAAGTGAAATGGTAAATTGTAATGTAAGGTGCACGAAGAACAATTTTGAAATTGTAGTAAGATATTAAAATGTTACATTTAGATCAGAATGAGCTTTTAGTAGCTAAAAGTAAGCAGCTTTTCTTGCTTTATCATAACTTCCATAGTTGAAATCTGTGGTGTTTTTGTACAAGTACAGAATTACAGGGCATATCTACCTAAAGGCTGATGAGCAGATCCTCTAACTAGCATAATCAACAGCTTCCCCTAGCTACATTATAGGCATATGGCTGTTTATGCTAATTATCTGCATCTGTCTAGCTTAAATTCAGCATCACAGCAATACAGGTGTGCTTTCTCCAAGGAGGGGATAGCATTACAGCCATTCACTCCAGAGTTTAGTTGTATTCTGCCATGATCTGCTTACTTGCTTCAGACAATGAATGTATGTGAGAGAGAATTAAAATGGAACCTTTTGATAAAATATTTTGGATTGTTTATATTAAATGATAAAAATATTTATTAGAAGTAAAATTGAGGTCTTTTTGTAATGCTAACATATGTGAGAAAGGTGGTTACATGAAAATATATAAACATCTGCTACATATCTTCTAATATTGATTAATAGCAAAATCAGACCAATGAATTCTAGTTGGAAGGAAATAATATTTTACAGGATTTTTTTTTTGCAATTTTGGGCAGAAACACTTTGAGTCCTGTTCTTCATAGATCACAAATCTGTTAAAGATAAATGAGATTGGAAAGGCAGTAGTTCCATCGCATAGTTTCAGTTATATCAGATGTATCAGCTATTGATTTTGTCTATTTTTTCCCATTTCTGTCATTTCTTCTAACACTTTTTTAACAGTTTTGTTTATACTGATCATTTTTCCTAATATGTTTCAATTTCTAAGTAAATGATCTTCTCCATCCAATATAAATTTAGTCTTTTCTTTAAAAATTAGGAAAATTATGTACTTTTGCTTTACTTTGAAAGCTTTGATGCTGATTGCCTTTTTTACTGGAACGAGACGAAAAAAAAAACACCACGTTTTTTTTTTTTAAAAAAAACAAACAGTTTATGCATGGTACATCCATGTTAGCACAATTTGTGTTTTGTGAAATTTATTCTAAACAGAGGTTCTTCCTATACCCATAGCTTAAAAATAGAACAAGGTATGACTTTCGTAAGCTAGTGTAAAATTTAGGTATCTAAGCTATGTTGAACTCTCTTGCGCTTCTTGTAAAAGTAATGGAGAAAAAGGAAAATTTCCATAGAATGATTCGTCTCATTTCTCCAATTTGTGTTTATTACTGAGATGAATCACTATGTACAGGTGCATCATTCTTTTAGGAAGTTAAAAGGATAAACAGAGTTAAATTTTGCCATCAGTCATTACTTTTTCCTTCTACTATATAACTGCAGTTGTTTAGAAGCTGTTCAGCCAAAGTTGAAGTAAAGAGTTAACAACACATCCTAAGGAAATTCAGGAATCATCCATTCCTGGCACTGATACAAATTAGTGGTGATAGACCTTCGTTCTTCTCACAAAAGAGGTAATTTCAGGAACTGAGAAAAATAGCCAATATAACATGCTTCTAGCAAATTACCAAGTGATCATGTACACATACAAATTGCATTGCCCAAGTGAGAGACTGTACCATTGTAAAGAGAGCAGAGATGTGTTCAGTCAGTATTACATATTGGCAAAGCAGCCAGTAACGTGTAATGTTACAACTTGGTTTGAAGAATTTGTGGTAAAGTTCTCATGGTTGCATTATTGCATATTTTGATCTGCCCTGCAGAAACACAGCATGTGGTTTGGATATGCATTTTAAGAATCCTAGTGGAATGTCCAGTTGTTCCTGTTTGAGGAGGTGTGCTTCTATGATCAAAATGCTAAAATGTGCCCTTTATGTTACAAATTTGATTTAAAACTGAGAAGTGAGAAGTACTGTACTGATTTTTAGAAGAGGCTTTTATAGATTTATATTTGAGTTCTTTTTTATTTAAATTCAAGAATAAAATTTATACAGGATCACTGTGGTAGTATCATTCTTTGTATCATTATATCACCTTTCCTTTCTGTATGTCATGAGGCTCATAAGGGAGTATCTTTAGTAATATAGACACCAAGTAATCATTATATGGTTTGAGATTTTTAGGATTTTCCAGAGAACAGTAGTAGTGATATCTTACAAACTATGGAATCCCTCATTTCTTTGGTTGTTTCATTAGAAATACACTAAATGCAATTAACCTACTCAGTGTGAGACTTCACCTAGCTGGGAAGCTCACATCTGTTCCTAGGAATCTGAGAAAAGTATTTTCTTAGTTATCTGTGCATTACCAAACATTTGGCATTAAATCTGCTGACAGAGATGAGCCAGCATCTGCATTCTCCAGCTGCTGGCTAGTACTGCATTGGTAGATTATTCTTCAAGCATCCAACTTGATTTCTCTTTGTCTTGTATACATTTGCTTACAATTCCTTCTTATGTTTCAGCAGATGGCACTGTAACTTAATTTCCTTGTATGCTATCAGTATCTGAGCATTTAATTCAGCTTCAATGAATATTTTTATGTTTATTAATTTTTAAACCACAAGAAGGCTGTAGATGATAAACAAACAAAAACACCCACACGTAAGATCGAATATGTTTTTATCAGTTTCCAAGACCTTAACTCATCAAAATATTTGAGTTTTTCTGAGTTTTGGAATAGGGTAGAAATTAAGTTGATTTTACCAGTTATTAACAGGCTGAGATGTTTCGGTTTTTGCAGTTCAAATCTAGTGCTCCCTAAAAGGTATGGAAGAGCCAGAAATCCAAGTGTTCCTTACATGCTTTACCCAAACCTTGGGAGAAATATAAAAGGAAATTTGTTTACTTCTGCAGATACTAACTACATCCAGTCCTTCAGAAACTAACTGTCATGGCAGTCATTATGCATTACAAACATTTAGATAGTGTTGTATACAGGTGGAAGGTATCCAAGAGAGAATGTAAGTGGCAAAGCCTTAGAGAAATAAATTTCACAGGATAAATATAAGATGGGCACTTTTAACTTCTCTTTCCAACTGGAAAAACTTGGAGAAAAACTTTTAAAAATGCAATTAGGATGTGAGTTGTATTTTTTTTTTTTTTTAACATTGCTAATGTTATTATGTTCAGTGTAGGTAGCCTAGACTTTGCTGTGGTACTTTAAAATTATCCAGTGTTATTCTCAACCTAATTCACATCTATATGCTCCCCAGGGAAATTAAGATGAATTAGAGATTTTGTCCATCTATGTTCCTTTGCTTTTTATAGGGTAATGATGTGTAGAAATAATTTAAAAAAAAAAAAAAAATTGCAATTTGAAATGATCTTCTTACAACATAATTATGATCTCTACTTCATTAGTAATTTAAGATTTATTTTCACTAGACTAAAGAATGCTACTGTTTATTTTAGGACCATGCTGATTACCAACATATGATAAGGAAGTATGGTAGGCTGTAAAATAATTAAGATACTTCCTTAATTGTGTTAAGACTTTTCATGTTAGTTATATATCAAATCAGTGTTTATCAAAAAACATATTTTCCTAATATTACCATGCTGTTTGCATTGCTGATCCATTCTTTTAAACTCCCAAGGAGGAAGAGGCCAGAAAACCAAGTAAATCTCGGTGTTGTTTCCTTAACTCTTACTTAAAAACCTATGTTCTTTCTCTCACAGTGAAAACTCACATGCAACAAGGATTAATTTCTGTTGCTGCTCGTACTGTGATCACACATCTAGTCAACCACTTAGGCCACTATCCTATGAGTGGAGGACCTGCTATGCTAACTAGTCAAGTGTGTGAAAATAATGACAATCCATACAGTGAAAGTCCTGAACTTTCTCCTGAACTTTTTGAGAACCCAAACCTCCAATTCTTTGTGTTAAACAATACTTCCTTGGTGTCTTGCATACAAATCCAAGCAGAAGATGACATGCCTGGGGGAGGACTATCTGCTGGACTTGCGTCTGCTAATTCCAATGTCAGAATTATAGTGCGTGATCTGTCTGGCAAATACTCATGGGATTCAGCCATTTTGTATGGACCATCATCCTTATGTGCATCTTCACAACAAACATCTTTTGCCCTTTCATTATCTCAACAAGAAAAAGCTGAAGATCCTCTTTCTTCTTTTGAGCATGTGGAGGATATATCTGCAAGGGATGGAATTACACTCCAAGTAAAAAGGAAATTCAGAGACACTGTACCAACATGGGATACAATTAGGGATGAAGAAGATGCCCTTGATGAGCTCTTGCAGTATTTAGGTGTTACAAGTCCTGAATGCTTACAGAGAACTGGAGTCTCACTCAATATTCCTGCTCCTCAACCAGTCTGCATCTCAGAGAAGCAGGAGAATGATGTCATCAATGCAATTCTGAAACAGCACACAGAAGAGAGAGAGTTTGTTGAAAAACATTTCAATGATTTAAATATGAGGGCTATGGAGCAGGATGAGCCAACATCGCAAAAGCCCCAGTCAGCATTTTACTACTGCAGACTACTTCTCAGTATACTGGGAATGAATTCTTGGGATAAAAGGTAAAAAGAAAAGATGAAACCACATTTTTATGAACTCTTTTTGAAAGAATTGCACTGCTCATACTGTGTAATAATAGTTGTTCATGCAGAGGGATTTTGCAACTTGCAGCTAAAGGAAAATGGCAGTTTTCTTGTGTATTTCAGCCTGTCATTTAGACAGACGTAAAGGAGAAGCCTATTCCCATTATTGCTACTTTCATTCTTAGTGTTGGAGGGAGAATTGGAGGAGTTGTATCTTTTCTAATAATCCTTTCATCAGCTGTACTAAGCTGTACTACCATGGGTAGACATGGCATATTTTTACTTTCTTGCTTCCCTTGTATGTTCTTGCAAAAATTGTTACGTTTCTGTGCCAGAATGAGTTCTTTGAAAGTGTCACATTCTCAGCTATTGTGTTGCTGGGTGGTGTCCTGCTGCTCTGCCTGCTAAGAGCATGCTTGCATGCAGCTTCCTTGTTAGCTAACTAGAAAAGTGTCTTCTACTATTTATTTTGACATGAACAATGTTGAGGTATTGTTTAGAACAGGAGACGACCCACTTTTGGTTATGAACTTAAATGTCTCTGCTTATGTTATCATTATGATTTGTGTTTAGGTGCATTTAGGTATATGTGCACATATACGTAGATATGTAAAATATTAGCATCCTAGAATTTAAGAGTCTGAAGCCTTCTTTTGCCATATCTGTCAAATTCTGTATTACAGACATTGAAATACTCTCTTACTTTGAAGGAAAATGGATATTCTGTAACTTATGTCACCAAGTTACTACTGGAATCAATTTTTGTTTTACTTCAAAAATTTTGGTGTTATGACCTTTAACTCCTCAAGGCAGTTTGTTTTTGAACACCGCTGCTCTTAAATTCATTCCACTGTTTTATAGGGAATATTTAAAGTGCTTTTTTTATTTTTAGAAGTGCCTTCCTTACTGTAACAGATTGTTTTGTGTTTTCTTCAAATTGTTACAGCTGGCTGGGTGACTTCTGAGCTATATTCTGTTCTCTTCAGTAATTCAGATGAGCAAAAGTTCAGTATTTAACGCACTAACTCCCTAGAACAGTTAATTGCTGGAGTGTCTTTTGGCACTAGTAAAATGTGCAGATTGTATAGGTGTCAAAAGTCATTCTGCCCATTCTTCTGCAGGGAGCAGATTGATTGCTGCTGTATCCAGTAGGTTGAATGAAGAAGACAGAAAGAAAGAAAGTTTGCTTTCAATATTATAATGGATGTAGAAGATTTCCTAGAGTTGAAAATGGCTTAGATTTTTTTTTTTTTAAGATACCTTAATCATTTTATGTAAGAAAGAATAGTTGAAAAGGCAACAGCATTTGCTGGCTGTTTTTACTTGGGCTTTGCAATGTTCTTGTACTGTTCTTTTACTGTTCTGATGTTTCATAACTGAGCAAGTAATAAGGTTACAAATTTTTCTATTTAGAAGGAGCTTTCATCTCCTGAAGAAAAATGAGAAGTTACTTCGAGAGCTCAGAAATTTGGACTCAAGACAGTGGTAAATTCTTCTAATGGCTACTCTACCTTATTTGTTTTATGTGCTTGTATTTAAATATCTATAATTTGCATAGATGAGAGAATTGAGCTGATGTTAAAAATATTTTTTTTAATTTTTTTTAATATATTGCAGTATATTGTAGTTATTGTTGTTACACTGAAATTATGTTAATGCTACTTGTAGAGTGAAAATCTACAGGTCAAATATCATGAAATATAACAAATTTCAAAATAACTTGAATTTACTAGCACCTGGATATGTGTAACATGGGATAGTTTTAAAACATCAATATGCAAGTGTCTACTTTTTTAGTTTTAGCTACTTGTTTAGCTGTTTGCCAACACCATTTGTATTTGAAGACATGGAATTGTAGGTGGAGATGTAGCATAGAATTAAAAAGTTGTATAGCTTTACTTTACTTCCACAGTCTTTTTTGAAATTTAAAAACCCATGCTCTCCGTGTAGTGTTTGCATATTTTGGTTTCATATTAGCAAAGGCACTGTTATGTGATGACCATTCCATGTTTTACAGCCGAGAGACCCACAAGATTGCAGTGTTCTATGTTGCTGAGGGACAAGAAGATAAACACTCCATTCTTACTAATACTGGGGGAAGTCAAGCCTATGAGGATTTTGTAGCTGGCCTTGGATGGGAGGTATTTATTTAATTTTTTAATTCTAAATTTGTTTACAGAGAAAATGATATATTCCTACAGTTCTTTGGCTCTTTAAATTACCTACAAGTACTGTTTCTCTAATAGGATGCAGAGAAGAATTCTAATTTCATTAGCAGTACTAGATATTTAATTCTAAGCTCTTTCGATTTAGAAAAGTTTATGCAGGCAGGGATTATTCATTAATATGCAATTCCGTACTTCATGGACTAATGAAGCCAGGCCCTGTGTGCCTGTAAGGTATGAAGTTCACTGAAGCTTTAGTTTTGTTCAAATTTGTGAATCCTAAGAATATGAGAACGCATCTTTACTCATGTTCTCTTCTAGCTCCCTTCCACTGCAGGTATATGTATATTCACAACCACTCCACTCTCTTCACATTTCTGACTGCTGGAACAGACATGCTGCAATATGCCCCATCATCTCTACAGCACTTCAGCTCTTCAGTCAGTAGTCTGATATTGCTAAAAAGATTTCCCTTTTTCGTGCCCTTTGTTTCAGACTGCAAAAGATTAACTTCCTGAGACACAGCTCTGTCTCACAGATACAGGAATCACTCCTACTTCTAGCTGGCTATGAAAAGTGGCCATCAATTTTTAAAATTCAGTTGAAAGTGGATTTTTAAAAAAAAGTTGTATATGAACATTGTATTTATCACCCGATCACTTTTTTTTTCCTCCTAATGTCTCCTGGATTTTACTTTTAGGTAAATCTCACAAACCATTGCGGTTTTATGGGAGGACTGCAAAAAAACAAAAGCACTGGATTGACCACTCCGTATTTTGCTACCTCAACAGTAGAAGTAATGTTCCATGTGTCAACAAGAATGCCTTCTGATTCAGATGACTCTCTAACAAAAAAGGTACGTGTTTCTGATTAAAAGATTTCCTTGCAGTAATAAAACTAGGAAAGCAAAGATCATTCTAAATGAAAATCCAGTCATTTTCTCTTAGGAAATAAATTGTAAAACACGATACATTTACCGACTGATAGTGGGTATTTTACAGAAAGAGATTAAGCCATGTAAACTATCTGTCATAATGGTGAATTTTGAGATTATTGCAAATACTGATGAGATCATATGAATACTGGTGAAAAATGAAGGAAGGTAAGTGTTTGTGTTGATGAAAAGAGTGCATAAAATTGTTTTTTTATATTTGAGACTTGGTGAGTACTTTCAAAAATGACTTTTTATTTACTGAAGGGTCACACGCTGTCTATTAAACTAATTTTCCCCTTTAAAAGTTTAAAATGTTAATTTGACCATGCTTATCACATATCAGGTGTTTTGTTTTGGAGCAGACACGAATGTTCAAGAGTGATAGAATCTCTCGTTGACATGCTAAGAAAAGAATGATATTCTGTATTGGTATTTTTTCTTTAGAATTTAATAAATTCCATATTATTGTTAATAAGTTACCTTCTCGAACACGTGTCCTGTTATAAATGAACAATTGGCTATCATTAGATTGTCCCCTGTCCTACATACATACATCTTCAGATGTGCTAATCCATTCAGTAGACACGTTAATGAGCAACGGTTGAAGTGTAATATTGAAGGAACTGAAGCTGGTTGACCTCAGTGTGGAGTTTAATACTTGTAATTAAATTAGACAACAGACAGTCAGTAAAGAGAGTAATAGCCATGCCTCTGGCAAACTTCAGTTATTAATGACTTTTTGTTCTCTGTGTTCAACTTGAAGAAAAAATATAATTGTTGTTCTTGTTATTATTATAGACTAACTGTGGGTTCTGACTTCTCACTGCTCCATCTTAGACTGTTGTTTTTTGTTTGTTTTTTAATTAAAGATATTTCTTTTTGTGTGCCTGTAGTGCTGGGTCCTTCCTGTTCTTTATTTCATTAGGTATAGCCAGAGTAATAGATTGTTAGTGATTTATAAGAGTGGTTTAATAGATAATATAACTAACTTTAAAATAAGGTTGCTGCTTTTGTTCTAGTATAAAGCAAATATATATTGCTACAACATATATGTTATGTTAACTGGCTTCTGTATGTTTTTAAAGAAATTTGATTTTGTGCAACACAGCTTATAATTATGTTTACAATTGTTGCACGTAATGTTTGAATTAGAGGATTGTAGAGTGTTGGAAAGGAGAAAGATGGATCGCAATGAAAATTAATTTTTCTCAAATAATTTTCAAATGCCATAGGCTTCAGCAGAACACACAGAAAAGATCTCATGTCTGTTTCCGTGATCTGAATCTGCATATAGCTGTTCTGCCAGACAAGGTTCAATGCTGGTCCAGGCCTTCTGTAATTTAACTTGCGAAAGTGGTGTCAACTGGACTTTTTAACAGCTCCAATTTACCCCAGGCCCATTTCTATCCTCTTTCACAATCTCACTTTTTAGTAATTAGGAATATTCGAGGTCTGTATGGATATGTCAGTGGAGTATATATCAGAAGGTTGAAATTGTAACATTGCTGATGGGCATTTACCAAGTTCCTTTATTCTCTGTGGCTTTCTTTCCTGTTTCTCCTCTACATTTGTTCTCTATTTATTTAAACAGTTTTCCAATGAATGAAGGCTTGTGAGCCTGTCTTTACATCTCTCCTCCCTTCTCTAATATCTCCATTTCAATCCATTTCAATCAAATTTAATAGAGACAGATTGGAAAGTATTAATTTCATGTATGTTCAGTGAAAATAGGCTAAGTAAAGGAGTAAGAGAGACTGTTAGTGCTGATCCTACTTGTCAGGTAAAGACTGTGTGGAAAGAAGCATTAGACATCAAGAAACCATCACCAGAGGTACAGTAAGTGTCATCCCAAATTAGAGAAAATCAACTAATTCAAATCTTGGGAAGAATCATCAAGTTGGATCAGGAGTTATGAGTAGGGAAGCAAGTTTAGTGCTTAATTCTTTTAGTGGTTCTGAAACTACTTGTGCTGCTTACACTGTAGATGGGTCAGAAAAAAAATATATTTTATGTCCTGTGCAAGCTCACACTCGGTAGAATGGACTTCATTTCGGAATTGTGCTGAGCACAGTACTGTTCATGACCTCAAAAGAAACTTGAGTTTTGAGTTTCTCTGCAAGTCTTTCACGTACTTTCTTTATCTATTTCATTCAAAGAGAAAAACAAGCAAACTTCCAGTACTTGGCTTAGAACTGCTGCTGTTTTTATACTGTAAATGTGCCTAGAGGTGCATGATAGGTCCATTTTATAAATGGAGATCAAATTAAATTAAAACAAAACTTCTTCCTGCCTGTCCAGCTACTACAAAATCAAGATTCTGCAGTTTCAGAGGCCAACCCAATTTTAAACTTATTTTCCATCCATCTTGCAGAGTAGTAAATAAAACTTTTAAATGTCTTGAGTACCTCTGAAGCATTTATTACTGAAGACATGAAAAAGAACAAGAAATAGTATGAATTTGGGAAGCACAAATGAAAATGTGAATATATAAAGGAACTTAACATCGAAATGCGTATATAAAGCATGCACTTAATTTAAAAATACTGAATTAAAGATTTAATACCAATAATATAACCCAATTTGTTTCTTTTAGAATTAAGAGTTAGATTAAAAAGCATTTTAAAAGCCTTACAAGGACAAGCTTACAAAGAAGATGTCAGAGTTTAATGAAGCTGCAAAGACTCAGTTTATAGAGTGAAAAAGCTCATATTTGTGCCTCTACCTTATCACCTGTCTGGTTCCTCCTTCCTTAGCCAGATGGAGGAGTGGAAACATTGTAGGTGATATGCATAAATAAACAGTAGTAATGTTATTAACAACTGGAGTACTAATTCATCTTGGGCCTTTGCTGTATTACATGATTCTAGTGTATCTTTGATGTTGTCCTAAAAGAATTATAACTCTCAGCCTTTGTAGCTACTTTTTTATTCTGTCTCGAGATGTATCAGGGAGTTGAATGTTTATAGACATAAATTATTAGTATTTTTTGAGTTACAATTAAATACACATGCCACTTAAAAATCTAAAACCGCAACAACAAAAACCACAATACCATAGTTCTTAAAGTTGTGTGAAAAATTCAACCAGAGGCTATATATATTACAAAGAGAAGTGCTTCCTACATTCAGTGGGCAAAACTGGCTGCAGTATGCCATTACTTCAGATGTTTCTGCTCCTTCTGTTCTTGTCATAATGAACACTTTAATTTTTGAAGAAGCAGCAAATTTGGGGATGTTGCTGTATCAGAAGGAAATATAATAGCCTTTTTTCTCCCTCCTTTAGGTAAGTGAATATTAGAAATTACAGTAATTTTGGCAAGAGTTCAAGGGTTAATGCAACAGATAAATAAAAGGAATTTTTGTAAATTGAGCCCTGCATTATTTCACTTGTCTTGCCTTTCCAAACCTAACTCATTTAATTTTAAAAAGTAAATACTTAAATTCTTCCTGACAGTGTGCTTTGCTTTTACTATCGTTTATTACTTCAATTATACTTGGTATCACTTAGAACAATCTGCCATTTGGAAATTTCAGTATAGCCTGCAGCTTAGTATTAAGTCTGGCTGCTATTGTAACATGTACAGCATATGACACTAATGTATCAAAATTAGATTTGATCATCCCTCCTGGTTATATTTATTTCACGTTTCTTTTGTATTCAGTTAACATAAATGTATTAAGAGAGCTGACACATGATGATGGCTATAGAGTAAGAATATTTTAAAGTATTTTGAGTTAAATTTGAAATTTCAGGTAACCTTACTGTTGGTCATTTTTATATATTTATTTTAATGGAGTAGAGTTTCAAAGCAAGCCTAAAAAAATCTGCTCATCTCTGACATTTCCTCAGGCTGTCTTCCCGTCAGCTCAGGTTTAAAATTGGTAAAACAGAGCTCTTAATCTATTTCTCATTGCCACCTTTGCGGATCTCTATGGATAACATGACCATTGTGCCTGTCACTTATGCCCATAGCCGGAAATCATCTTTAATTTGATCCACTTTTCTGAATTCTTACATTCATTTGGTGCTTATTGCTCTGTTCCTTTTTTCCATGTAACATTTCTTGCAATATAGCCTTTCCTTCTCCACACACACAGCTAAAATTTATCTACTGTGTCCTAAACTGCTATATTGCTTGCTCAACTTTCCATTCTCTGGGCTTATTACATCCTTTAAGAATGCTACTGTAAAAGGTATTGGACTTTTTACCATTTCTTTGCATTTCCCCATTTCTGATTTGTGTACTGCCTTATACTTCAACAGTAAACTATCAAACACTGTATGTGACGTTATATAATATTTCATATTTTAGAATATTGGTATATAACTACAGTTCCAGGTGTTTTGGCTGCAGTGTATTACCAGTTACTTGAAGTATAACACAGTTTTAGCAAATTTTACTATTTATATTATTGTTGTTCTTCAAATCTCTAGTAAATATTTGCACTCAACTGCTTGCAGTCGTACATACAAAGCTCTAAGTTTAGGAAAACAAGGTCAGGAAATTATTTTGAAGATACAATGGCTAACACAACTGCTGATGGAGAGTTTTGAATAACCGTTGACACAGATTTCAATCTTATTACCTGTATATTCTGTACATGCCACATCTGATTCTGCTAGATAACAGTGGAACCACACTTTCTTCTTCACTAGCTATGTTGCTGTCTGTCCTGTGGATTCAATACACAGAAATGGTTATAACTCAGTACCTTTGTGCCACTTGTGTCCAGGGCACTGATTTCTGTGATGCTTCCAATTCAGTCTCGAGGAATCCAGATTGAAATTGAAAGAGGTTAAACTCTGACCCTTCTGTGGTGTAATAATTACAGTGTATGATGAATTCTCCTAATGTTTGCATGCAGGAGAGCTTTGTGGTGGAGCAGCACTCAGATTCGGGGTCATTGCAGAGGGAACTGAAAAAAGAAGAAAAATTGAAATTCTTCTTTCTAAAAAGTTCATGCAAAAGCTAGCAGACCATCAAAAGCTTTTTGAGACAATTCCAGGTATTGGATCTCTTCCATGAATCAAGTGCGTTCATCAGTCAAGTTATAACCATTCAAACTTTCTCGTTAGCATTGCTTACTGACCATGATGAGGTCATGTGAAAGAAGCAGTAAGGAGCTCTTTTTTAAGATCAGAACTCTTTTTGATCTGCTCTTGAAAAGTGAATAGAATTATTTATCCAAGATTCAATTCTTCTCCAAGCATAAAGATAAAATAAGCAACACCCAATCTTTTACAGTTGCGTATTCTCCTGTTGCTCTTCTTCCTCCTGTGATGAGCACAAGGCATTGATCACAGTTTTGATTTTGAGTACATTTTGTTATAAACTAGCACACACAGTTAATACCATCATTTGCCTACTCGCACCATATAAGTTTGACACAATGCACTGTGTGTCACAGAGATGCCATTCTACACTTAAAATAAGTCTTTGTCAAATCATTTTTGGGAGTACTCATGAGATGAAGGACAGCTGACAAAACTTGGCATTCAGTGGAATCATCCAATTCATTGTTCTTTTCTTCTGAATAAGTTAGTGTTTTTAGCCTGGAGTGTATCTTCATACCTCTATGGAAGTAATAAAACAAATTTCCAAAATGGAAAGAAAAATCACTGATCGCTTCAGTACGCTTGGCGTCCTAAATTATGTGCTCTTTATCAGTAGTCTTTGTGAAATAACTGCACAATAGACTTTTATCACGCTTTATCACTCTCCAAAATCTATACCATTCTGATTTGCAAGTATTCATCAGTAGTGATGCTCCATCTCAGTAGCTATCCCAGAAATGCAAGAATTGTTGTCATATCTGATTAGCTGTAAATTTTAGTTACAAATACACAGGGGCAACCTTTGATAAATGAAACTCAGGTACATCCAGAAACTGTACTATCTAAACTCGATATGATTAGGATTTTAAAGCTGTTTATTTGGCATGTAGTTTGTCTCTATCCATTATTTGAAATGTAACAGTGCATTATTGTCTCTGAGTCCGAAGATGATAAGTAAAGTCATCTTCTAATTAATAGTTCAGTATTGCTGAAATTAAGAATCGTACTGTGCAGTGATGAGTGTATCAGTGATGGGTGTCCTGCTTTTTGGCAGTCAGTTCATTAATGGTGTACCAGATGACTGACCATACCCCAATCTAGGATCACGCTGTTGTTTCATATTTCACAAGATTTTCTATCTGAGCCTCTTACTTTCTCTTTGATAAGGCTTTCTCATCCTTCCTGAACTTTTCACCTGCTTCTGAGTGTGGGCCTGGCAATTCCACGTCATTATCATATTTTGATGCATTGTTTGTCACTTCACTTTGGAAGGTGGAAGACTTTTAGCCCCTCCCAACAGCTCCACAGTTAGTTGTCTTTTACAACACGTTATTGTAAACATGTCGTCCAAAGTTTCTGCAGCTGCTGTTCTTGTATTCCATATCAGTAGTTCAGGTTGCTGCCTGGTTTTGTTCTCATCTAGTCAAATAAAACTCAACATCCTGAATGCTGTTGTAACCAAGTCTTCTCTTGGTCTAGGTTTATGGTTGGCACAATAGCATTCAAGTGCACTTCAAAGTAACTCAGACATCTATAAAAGAGGCAAAAATAGCTCTCTTCAAAGAAACTGCACTCATGGTTCTTTACATATATGTATGATCTGGTCCAGGTAAAACAAATGGTTTGTTGAGCATCACAGAAGGCATGGCACTGATGCCGTCTGTCCTTTGCCCAGTCTGATACTGAAGAAAAAGCTTTTATTGTAAAAATAATGTATCAGTTTTCAGTCTGATACAATGCAAAGCCAGCAGAGAAGAACAGAAGCGTGGGTTTTTTTCTTATTTTTCTTTTTTTGATTTGTTTTTGTAAAGACTGCTACTTATGACCAATATAAGCCTTCAGGTAAGACAAAAATAGTGTTCCAGGAGACTGTATAAGAGAAACAAGCAAATATTTGAAATGATATTTCTCTGTGTATGTTTTCCTCTTATTTAAAGTGCAGTTATATTGTAAAAAAAAAGAAAAAAAACCAGAAAGTTGTTGACTTTTTATACAAAACAACAACTTGGAAGTGCTCAGATTTGTATCAGCATGTTACTTATTAACAGCCATTCACAGTGCTGTCCTTTGAATAACATCAAGGCAATTGATTGACAAACTCAAGTTGGCCAAAGCTGTGCAAGCGACCTGAAAACTGTGGATAAAGAAAATTGTCAGCTATATCTGGTGATGCACAAGGAGAAAAAAATTGTGGTGGACAGTTTAGAATTTGGCTAGAATGATGAGGTTAAAAGACTGCTCAGATTGATGTCTCTTAAACAGATGTTTATCTATCTATTTTTGAAATTCATATGGAATTTAGTAGATAGTTTACTGCCTGTCAATGATGGCAGTCTTGAAACCATTTTGGCAAATCAGAATGAATTACTTGGCATTTTTGAGATAAAATCAACAACATTTTAGCTTTTATTAGTCTCTATTGACATGATTGTTAATTTAAATAGTAATTGGCAGCAGTGTATAAAGATCCATAGCAAAAACCAATACTGTAACTGAAAACATGAGAGAACTGTAGTGTAATTTATTTTATTCCTCTTTATTTTCTTTTCGTGGTTTTTTTTTTTTTTTTCCTATTGAAATAAGAGCACTTAGTATAGCTGTATGGATACAGAACATATTTAAACTGATACTCTTTTATTTCTGCTTTTCCAGCTGAGACATTTAGGGAACGATGAAGTACACATTGTTTGGTCAGAGCATACTCGAGATTATAGAAGAGGAATAATTCCAACAGAATTTGGTGATGTTCTTATTGTTATCTACCCCATGAAAAACCATATGTTTAGTATCCAGATCATGAAGAAGCCTGAGGTAAGCCAGGTGGTGGGTTGTGTTTCCTTCATGTGTTTATACCCAGGGAACAGTGGAAACTGATTGAGCATACGCACAGGGCAGAGAGAAAGTGTATTCTTCCTTATGTTCCAAGTTCATGAACTAAGTTCTATTTTGTATGCAGGGCTTTGGTATAGTAAACTGATTCAACAAGGTGATCTTTCTTCAGCGTTGACAATTACAGTGATAGGAGGAAATGGGAGAACTCAGAACACTGCATAGCAAAACAAGTAACTTGAACTTGCAAAGGGCTGATCCTATCAAGCAAATCTGCTGGCATCGTAAACTGCAAAGAAATCTGCAATGTTCTACTTAATTATTTAAATTCTAAGATAATCTTTGAAATTTTCTGTATCAAATTGATACGTGACTGTGGCCATTAAATCATAGCCTGCTTGAGCTTTTCCATCCGTGTCATATTCCCCTTTCTTCTTTCTCAAAGCCAATTTTCATCTCCTGGACTCAACAGGAACTTGAAAATAAATTCAGCAAAGCAAAGACCATTCAACTCTTAGGCAGATGAACACATATCCTTTCTAATTTCTGTTCATCAAATGCCTGGGCTGTCAGTGGTTTAAGATAGTGAACGCTGACTGAGTAAAAGTCATCACGAATGTTTGTACTGCAAAGTTTCTCTATATGATGTCACTCGCCATAAGTTTCTGTGCTTCATATATTGAAATGCTTTCTTAAAAGTGTTAAAATTAATTGAGATATAACAGAAGTAGGAGCATAGGAATTCATCGATGTGATAACTACCTCTGATTATTATAGGTATGAAATGATACCCAGTATATGGTCTTGTTATCACAGGGTTCCTTGTATTTTAATTGATAAGTGTATTGTTTTCTTTACTGGCTTAAGTACAGCATGTTATGTTATGGGGGATATAGTAAAGGGCTTGAATGTTAAAAAGGAAAAAGCAGACTGCCTACAGTATTGTTATCTGGCCTTGCAACCTCATAAACATCATATGCATGACTATTCTTTGGATTTTTGGCAGCAAATTTTGAAAATAAGCTTTGATGAGACATAGTATTAAAATGGTTGCTTAATTTTCTTAAAATACTTTATCTGTTACCAAGGATATCAAGCAGTTATATGGCTGTATGTTTCCCTAAGAGAAAAGGTCTGTCATGGAGCACAATAACTGGTCTGATTATCTAAGAATGAGGAGAAAAAAATTATACCCTTGGGCACTCTATTGTTACTGTTGATTGCTAATTGTTACAGCTTACATCTTGCTTTATGTTGAATTTCTTAATTTTTTATTCAGGTTCCATTTTTTGGTCCACTCTTTGATGGTGCTATTGTGAATGGAAAAATTCTTCCTATTATGGTTCGTGCAACAGCTATAAATGCAAGCCGTGCGTTGAAATCGTTAATCCCTTTATACCAAAACTTGTATCCTTTCACACAAGTGGTTCCCAAGGCATATACATTCCCCTGCAGTTCTACTGCTATGATCTTCACCTTTTATGTCCTCTTTTATTTTTGTCAGATTTAAGGATAATGTTTTCAATTTATGGTGGTGTCATTGCCATAAAAAGCATAGCAAAGCACTGAAAAAGACCAGCTTTTTTAAATAAGCAAATAATAGATTCAGCCCTAAAACGTCATTTATTTCTGATATTTTATAACATGGTGTAAGTTCTTATCACTTTGTCTTAATTATTATTATGACCGATTAGTGGTCTTAGCCTTCCTAAAGCAACAATGTCCTGGTGTTACTAATCTTTTTCTACTTAAAGATATTAAGTATTTCCCTAATATTAAAATTACTTATCTGTATTTTCTAATTCCAATGCTGCTTTCCTTCAAATTGTGTAATTAGTTCATTTTTCTCCTAAGGATTTTGTTTAGCTCAAAATATAGTGTTGTCAAAATGCAGTTAGTGTCACTGTACAGATGTCAGAAAAGGCGATCTCATTTTTTGGTTGTAACTGACATTGTAGTATTTTGAAAGGGCTTCTCTAAGGCGAATAGATTTACCAAACGAAATTAAAAAACATAAGGTAAGTCAATCTTTTCTGCTTCTCCCCTTCTTAGGACTGAGTTCTGTTCTGTTCTATACCTGTTACCTATGTCAACAAGAATGTACTATTTTTTGTTTTCATAAATTGAAAGATAAATTTGAATTTTGATCCAAAAGAGATTCTGTGCCTAATTTCTACCCAAGCTGTATATATTTGTATTTTTCATGTGATATAATGTTATTAGAACACTTTTTTTTTTAAGGCTGTTAATAGTCATGGAGTTTTGGATTTGTTCTTCCTCTAGATATGATGAAGTGGATTTAAAGATGAGTGATGGATGGTGTTTGGTGTGATAACAGTAAATGACGTTTGTGTCATTTCTGTAGATGACAGATGTTGATTCATGGTATTTCTATGCTCAGAAAGGTCCGATCTTTTTGTCATTACTCAAGTAGCTTAATCAAAGAATTTAAAATGTATTATCATCATTATACCATGAAAAGTGATGGCTTATAGCATTATATTGATATATAGTGATGAGCAATTGGAAAAACATTTACTTTGAAATAGCAAACTTTCAGTGCTGAAAAATACATTCACAAAAACATCTGTGTTTCAGATTCTGTATAGAATATACAAGTTTTTATAAATTCCTCAGACATAGCTTGCCAACTCGGTATGTAGGAATTGGCCAGGTCCTAAGAGCTGTTTATATATGTTCACTTACAATTTGATTCTCAGTACTTTTTTTTAATATACTTTCATCAATTCATCTCATGTCATTTATGACATTGCTTCCATAAAACTGTTTATATGTGTCCCTTAACATGGTTATTATGATAACTGTATTTGGTATTAGATAGTATTGGTTGGTGGTTTTGTGCTCCTTAATATGTTCAGCATGGTAACTGTGAAAAGCATTAACTAGCTATAATATTAGATATTATTAGTTGGTAAGTTACATACCATCACTTGGTAGGCTTAGTAAGCATCGTTTGATTGGGCACTGATTTTAAAGAGTGGATTTGTTAAGTACTCTTTGGAATTGTTTTTCTACCTGACTTGGAGTATTGTACTCAGTGCTTTGCATAGTACTTCAAAAATTAATGTGGGGCATGAGGTCTTCTTTAAAAGCTGTTGGTTTGGAGGGAGATTAGAAAAAAAAAAAATTCTACAAACTTCTTTGGCCTGAGGGGAGTCAATTGATTCAATAGGAAACAGAAAGTAAATAGATAAATAAACTTCAAAATTTGGCCACCTTCTCTATGGTTTAAAAACTCTTGAAGAAAAATGTCATTTCAATGCTTTAGGTGTTCAACCTATTATCATATTTGAGGTCTAGAAAGAATTTCCCTCAGATAAGAATGGCAAGGACTAGTAGTTTTCCATAACACAGACATGATCTCCTAGCTAGGAATATTTGAAAATTGAATCCAGTTTGGTTTTGCAATAGAAGGGAGTCAGAGATGTTGAGGATTGTCCACTCTTTTCCTCTGGCATATTTTAGCTATGGCTCTACTAACTTTCAAGTTTGTTGTAAACTGAAGGGTGTGGGGACAGGAGGATTTATGGTCTGTGGTTAAATAGCATTTATGTAGACCTCTCTAGGCTTGATGACTCTTCTGGAAGACAGAACTTAATGAGCAAATAAAAAGAGGGCTTAGAGTGGTGTAAATGATATTTCTGAAGAGGGAGGAAAATAGGAACAGAAAAGACATTTTTCAGAAGCACACCAAAAACAGAAATCCGTCTCAAAAACTGAAGCTGATAATCGAGGCCTCCCACATGTCCAGGAACATAATGGTCAGTAAACAAAACTTCCTAACTGATCTGCTTGAAATTAATTTTTATTTGTCTATGAGTGTCTAATATACTGGAGCTGTGTTGTTAATTTTGTAGCAACTGTGATGAAATTTGGCTTATTGTGGGTCTTCGGGGGAACAAGAATACTTCAGACTTCTGTTGAATACATTAAGAATTCAAATCCTATACTTGTGCATTGACTCCCCTTTAACTAACATAGTAGGCCATCAGAATCAGGGAATTTCAATACCAGTATGGATATCTCTGTTCCTGCAAGGCTGTAGTTAATTTCACTGTGCTGTAGAATATTTGGTGGAAATTTTCTGACTGTGTGGAGTCGATACGTAGATCTGTGTTTATGTATACTTGAGGAATATTTACGTTGTGTTGTAGATCTTTGTAATGAAAATGGGTCATGGTAAACTCTTGATTAAGCTAGTTGTGAGTTGATTTGAAAGTATATGGCATGTGAAGAAAGTGGCACTGAAATGGGCCCTGTTACTTCCAAGGAGGCTTTATCTGTCCTTTGAGTTGGTGCTTTTTCTAAATGTGGACCTATCTGAAAAAAAAATCAGCTGTCATTTGTAATCAGCTGAGATATTCATTCCTCTTCATGTAATCTGATTGCAGCTTTTCCTTTATTGCTCTAGTCTGTTAATCATGATGTGGCAATGGGTAGCATGTGTGAATAGTATAATAGTGGTTGCATGGATACAGGAAATTCTGCTCATCTCCTTTTTATAGTCTGCTCCAACTTTGAGAATGTGTGATCTGAAGCAACTTCCTGACACTGAAATACTCAGTCATTCACCTTCCTGTTTCTGATGTTATTTTGTCACTTCTGGTAGCAAACTTAAATAGCTTAAAAGATTTGATTTTGTTAATGATTTTTAAAGGTTTCATCTGCTCTGTTTTTATTCTCTGCTCAGAATACTGTAATAATGTGTCAGTATAGTAGTATTTTAAGATTTAAAATTTACTTTGTATATTAGCAGCCATTGCACAGGCATGGCAAATGTCTTGCTTTGACTCTGATGCTTGCCATTTTCATCGCTGTTGCTGCATGAAGAGAGAATTGCCATTCATGGATTGAGCTTCTTTGTTAATTTGTGGGATTTGCTTTAGTTTTTTCTTCAAGAGTTCTTCAACCCCTCATTGTCTTTCAGTGATCTTACTTTTGTTTAACTCCTTCACCGATAGGCAGCATGTATGCACACAGTAACAGATGATACACTCAAAATACTTGCATTGTTGTGCTAATGAAACAGCAGTACCCTTTTTCCATCTGTGTTTCTTCTCATTGCATTAGGAAGTGCATGCGTATCTCACGAATACGTACCAACTGCGTGTATGCTGGAAATACTGCTAAGATTTATAACTGCAGGTGTAGTAATGGTACTGGATGTTGAGAACAACCATTCTCACTACCATGTAGAATAAGAAGTCCATCATTTAGGGGATAATCGAATATTTTTTATTTACTGATTTCTATGCAAATTTCTGATAGGATTGTTTTTATTAATGGCTTCAATATCAGAGCACACTGTTAAATTCTGAATTTAGAAGTTACGGTGTAGGAAATCGATCAAAATGAAATATTTTGAGATGTACGTATCATGTATATATAAAATATTTAGACATGTACTTGAACTTCCTGAAGTCAGTCAGATGGCAAAATGTACACAAAGATGATGTTTTTTATGTGGAATTGTCCAGTGATCCAAGTAGTTAAAATTGTGCTTATCATACAACAGATCAGGAAAAATACTGAAACCTCGTAAGAGTGAAATCTGAAAAATCTACTCTCCTACTGTGTTACACATTGTACACAAATGTTGGAGTGCTAACAAGTATTCCACAGTATCTGGAATGAGATTTGTCTGCAGCTCAGGCACCGTAATGCTTTCTTTCTATTGCAATATTCCTCCCCATAAGGATGCTACCTAGCAGCACACATTAAGAAATCCTACTTAGCATCTTTTAAATCTAAAATTTGTTGAACTTTTACAAATCTGGATAATTTTACCCACAATAATCATACCATAATTTTCACTTCTTTGTAATAATCTACCGTGTATTTTACCTAATGCAAAGAATTCATCAATTATTTTGATTTTTTTTGCCTTACTAAATGGTGAACTTAAATACCAAAACTATAATGCTGTTTTAATTATTCAGTCTACAAAATATCATAGAACAAATGATAATTGAAAGGATTTAATTATTTTTTTGTTATCAAAATTGGAAAATTTACATCCACTCATCTTTTTTGACATTGTATTCCTAAAGAGTTGGTATTTGATGTATTTCAGCTAGCCTTCTTAGGCAGTTGTCTTCCAGAGATTAAAGATATTGACTTTATGATATCTGACAAGGCAATCACTACTTTACAAATAAAATAGTATGTTTGAGGGGGTCTTAGAAGTTTCTTCTGTATTAAAAACTCATAGTACAGAAGGAGCTTTCTTGCTTGATGTGAAGGACTCAGATGCCCCAAAAAAGGGTTTTATTTGAAACAGAAGCATATTTATTTGTTATGTCTGCCTGATAGTCATTAGGCACAAGATAGAATTTCAGACACCATTTATATTAAAAAAAAAAAAAAAAGTCTAATTACTAATGACA